CCGAGGGGAGTGGGGGGTGTCGGTGCTTTTGGGGCTGCCTGAGAAATGCTGCCCGGGGGGAAGGAGGGAGGCGGGGGCGGCCCGTGGGGCGGACGCTGGAGGCAGCGGCCCGGGGAGAGGCGCTTCCCCGAGCCGTCCCGCCGGGAGAAATAAGTCTGGTCTCCTGGCTCTGAAGGTTTTCCGAAATTCCTGTCTTTTTGGATCAGAGTACGCGTTCTGGAAAAGTAGATAAGCGCTTATGGCGAGGGGAAGTAACCCGCGAAACTTGTTGGCTGGTTGGTTGGTTTGAGGGTTATTTGCCTTCCCCGTTATGAAAAAGCCGTGTTGTTTTAGTCAGAGTTTAATTGTGAGCGTCCAGACCCTGGAACTTATTGTGCTTTTTCAAGTGAGAATTTGGAAGAAACAGAAGATGAAAGGTACAGGAAGCATGTTTGTGGTGGCAAGAGTTTGTTCTAAAAGCCATGCGCAGGGGTAAGGAGGCAGCCAGTACTGGCTGTTACGAGACCTTAGGAAGTTTGGGTGAAGCTTTGAAAAATATTTCTTAATGACACAATTAATGTGACTATATAATCTGTAAGTACAATCACTAAACGTGGCGTATAGTTGCCTTTTTAAAGAACTTCACTCCTTGCCACCCTTGCTGCAGTTCCCGTGGATGGGAATTGACATTTTGCCAGTTTTCCTGATGTTACATTAATATTATGGTGGCACAGAAGAGATGAAATCGGTCCACTTTCACATGCTGATTTTAGACTTTGTGGCCCATTTTCCTGAACAAATAGGAGGGGAAGGGAAAGAATAAAAAGGAACGCAGTAAACTTTGCTTTAGGTGATAAAGTAGATACACAACACACAGCTAGATATAGTACATATGACACAATACGTATACACATAGATGTTTTGCATATCCTGAATACAGAGACATGCATTATTAACTCTGGGCATAGATCTAATAAAAATCTCATGTTCAAACTTGATTTATTTTCTTGAATATCTATATGCTTTCTATTGCCTGGTATATTTGCTTAAGTTGAAGTCTACCTAGCTGACGCTGTACTATTCAGAGTTGCTTTTGTGAAAACTTCTGGTTTAAAAGGAAAACAAGGTTATGAAAAACTAAAATCTTCTTGAAAGTAAGAATATAGAAAATAAATTTTTTATGGGACATTTTCAGACAGTAGTTGAGTATATAACAGCAGTAAGTTTAATGGAATTTCACTTTGAATAATACAATGTTTCAGGAATGCAAGTACATCAAGATGTAAAGGTGCAAGAGCTAAAGGAAGAGCTGATGTATCTATGCTGTCAAACATTTTTTTTTAAATAGTATTTACCAAATACTCTGTTTTCCAAAAAAACATGAAAAATATACTGTTTGCACCTCCTAATTTTGGGGGCATATGCTTTATCCTTGGGTTTTCAGATGTTTACAGCATGTTCTGACTTTCTCTTTTGCCCTATGCACATGCCCATGGAGCAATGTCTCCAAGCTGAGTTTTGAATCTGCTACTTTTACTAGTAATGGCAAGGATCTAGAAATGCACAAAATGCATTTGGACACATTGCTAAACTGAAAATAGATTATTTTGTTTTGAATTGAAGTGGTTTTATAGTGGCAGGCTTTACCTTGGTACGTTTGTGTAGTCATATGAAGCCAGTCTGAAGTTAACAGTTCACTGTGACTTTAGTGCTGTCACCTCTGAGATAGTTTACTCTGTAAATGGGGACTGTGGTAGCACTCTTTTCAGATAGATTGTTTCTTCATTATTGTTGTTATTAGTCATGATGTCTTCACCTGATACAGTAGGTGATAAAATTGATTAATATTCAGTAAGATATTTCCTTACATACTGGTATATTTTCTGAACTTAGCAGTGTATGCATCATTCAAATTGTCAGTCTTTTGCTTAGAATATGTAAGAACTTTTTATTTCTTTTTTTCTTTTTCAGTATACTATACTCTTTTTTGCTTATCTCATAAAGTTTGCACACATGCATATTTTAAGAGGGTCAACTCAAGCAGAAGGATGTAAGACATAAAATGTCTAGCTATTTTCTAGGAGGCATTTGGCCACTTTTACTGGCTACGTAGCAGTATTAAAGGTATGCTGAATCAACAGTGCTGTAGCATTAGTCATCTTAGTGTTCTCCAAGGCCTGGAGTTGCGAGCTTTCTTGACACCAATTGAATTGCCTGTGTAGTTCAACTGTAACTGTTTTGTCTTTGGTTTTTGATTTATTGTATTGCTCTTAATAGGAAGGAGTGCAAAATGCTAGAATATTCATTGTGGTCCTTGTGCAAGACAGAAAATATACTGCAAATATTCCTTTCCTTATACTGTCTCTCAGAATAGGCTTGGTATCATTCCAATGCAGTGATTTGGAAATAGTTCTAGAGTTTATAAATGTTATTGTAAGTAGAGGTAAGAAATACGGATGTTACAATCAGTGAGCTTTTGGAAAGGCTTCTCACAGTGCCACCTCCTACGTGCAGTAATTTTCCTCTTGGTGGCTATGCAGCACTGGATAGGTGATGAGACCAGCTTTTAAGTTCTTCAGTATGACAAGTTGTTTCACCTGTTCAGAACAGGTTTTTTTGTTATTCTTATATAACCTAATAGGCTAAATAAAATTTATCAGTGCCTGGAAACTTACCCTGTTTTAGATTTCTTTTATCCTTTATTAGGGTGCAAAACTAATGAGATTAAAGATTTAGGTCAAATCAGATGGGGAAATTTATTTTTGGAATTGATTGTCCTGTATTACTAGTAGGAGTTGTAAATAGGTTGTCCTAGTTCTGCCTCCTTTGTTACAATATTATAATTTTTTATTATGAATCAAAAAATGGCATTACTATAAGAGGAGAAGTTTAAAGGAATATATTTTAAGAAATACATCAAGCAGATGTATTCCTTAAGTTAGCATGCAATTATTTGAATTTATCTGATGGAATTTTGACATTTTTTTTCTCTTTGTCTTGCTTCTAGTAAGCATTTATCTCAGTCTCTCTGGGCACCTTATTTTATGTTTACCTACACAGTATCTTATTTTGCTGGCCTTTGAGGTTTTTTTATTGTTGTTTTTTTTTTTAAAATTCTTTGATCTCTTCCTGAATGTGTTTTCTAATATACTTTTATCATTAGCCTATTGTTTACTTCATACAACCCGTAGGCTTTAGAAAGATACTGAATTAGCCTCAATAAAACTGCTGTACAATCTGAGTTTAGATACTGGACGCGGTGGGATTGCTTAGGAACCTGCATACGCAATCCTATGGCTGAAGTTGTGTGGGTAATGTTAGAGGGATTTGAGGGTCATAATTTTCTTCTCGGTTTCATGCTTCCTTTAAGCGTGGAATATAACATGGATTTTTTCATCTGGAAGCTTGGTTTTGCAAAACTTCTCCTCCAGTGGAGGTGATGAAAAAGCTGGAGATTAGGATGAGTAGGCTTGTATGCAGTCCTTCTTTTTGGTTTTGCCTTTCTTCTTTCCATGGTTACTTAGTATGCAACTTTGCAGTAATTTTAGTTCTGGTGAGGCTATCCTAACAAAGAATATTCAAAGTCTGGGTGTGTGTCTTAACTTACGTACAGTTCCTTTGTCATGAATTTGATTCACTTTAACTTTTATTATGAGGTTATCTAGGAGCAGCAATATACAATAAATTGCACAAATAAGATGCTAAAATTTCTGCTCTGAAGGGCTTTCAGTTGAATAGGCAAGATGCACAACTAATGGAAGAGAGGTAATGAGCTATTCCTCAGTACGTGTTTTCTTACAGATGAGTGGCTTGTCTGATTGCAAGTCAATGCTGCCTGATATCCACGATCTTACAATTATTGCAGAATTGTGGCTGTTCTTATTGCCTCTGCTATTTTATTAGTGCAGGAGGTAATGATACATTGTTGGCTCCAACTCCAGAAACACTATGCATGTGTTTTGTGGGTTGTGGGTTTTTTGTTTGGTTTTGATTTTTTTCTTTGTTATTTTTTGTGATTTTTAATGAGCTTAATGACTTTTAAGACTTCTCATGACAGTAAGTTAAGCACAGAATTGATTGTATGATTTGGTCCTTATTTTAAAGTACATGTGTGTTTTGCACTTTTTGTACTTTTTTGTCCAACAATTCTTTTATCATGTTTATTTTTGTATGTTGTATAAATTTGATTTTATAATTCACTAACAATAAGCTTGTGCTAGTGTGTAGTGAGGGGCCATTGGTAGACTTGCAGGCAAAAACCCAACCCCAAAACACTTCAGCCAAGTTAGAAAAAGAGATTAGAGAAATATCTTCAGTTTTATAACCTGGAATCTTTGAATTTTCTCTCCGGTGACACACCAGGTAATCTCATCCATGGATGGGTTTCCTGAGTCAGGTGTTTTGTTGACCCAGCAAACATCTTAAGGCTTGTAGTTTTGAGGGAGAAACTTGAGTATTGCTTAACGATTGTCTTAAGCAACTGTAATTGAGCTTTAAAAGTTTTTGAGGCTCTGATGTAGAGGCAATATTCTATGTCTTTTCTATAACCTTAGAAATGATGGCGGATGATTTAGACAAATTTATTGAAGATCAGAAGGCCAAGTTGGCACAAGATAAAGCAGAACTTGAAAATGATCCACTTTACATGGAAATGAGGGTAAGAATATTAAACAGTTTTCCTGAATTTAAACACTTCTATTGCTAGGGTCTTGATTTAAGCTTGCTTTTACTGTGCTCTTAAACCTGTTTGTTGTTAAAGTATATATTAAAATTTTATCTATTCAAAGTAATTTCTGACTTAAATACTTCGTATCTGTATTTATGTAGATTTTTGAAAACCTGTTTGCCACCAGGCATACACAGTAACGTTTGTATTTTACAAGTGGGAAAACTCTTGTAAATGGTTATCATTATTCCTTCCCCGCTCCCTAGGTAAGGTAGACTGGCAGAGATCTGCTCTCTGCCCACTCCAGAGCATGGGTGTTGGTATAGGGATGGAAGGTATAAACAACCTCAAAATTTCTGTTATGGAAACTAGGAAATATAAAAGGCAAATTACTTAATCCAGTCAATTAAACAAAAATCTGTTCTTATCACAATTTTCCTATTAGAAATTAGTACATAATACTGAAGCTATAAAGATTTTATAATTTGCAGATCACCATTACATTGTTTAATAGTGCCAGTACCTGGCAAAAAGCTATATCTAAATAATTGAAGCTAGCTAAGTGTTAATGGTAACTAAAGTCCTCAGTAAAAAAAGGAGTTTTGATTTGTCTGTTGTTTGACTTAAAGCCCCAAACAGCTTGAGCTTTTAACAGCAATTATAATACTGAGTTTTCACTCCCTTTTTTATTTCATCAGGTTATGAGCATTCATGTTTCCCCTTCTGTGGGTTACATAAGCATTTTTACCTTGTTACAATAATTATCTCCAGAAAGTTTTATTAATTCACTCCAGAAAGTTAATTTGTAGGGAGCTGTGAGGAGTTGGGCTTCCTTTATTTTTGCTGCCTCTGCTCAGAGCAAATTTAAAGAGAAGGAGAATGTTTCCAGCCTATAGTTAAATAAAGTCCTAAGCTGTATGGTGAAAGTGTAGTTACAGGGAACAGGTGTGTTAAACTTGCCCTCTAATACCCTGTAATTCTTTCATAGTTTCAAGCAGGGTACGGTATGTCAAATCAGCCCCCATAAAAAAACCAGAGAGGATATGTGTAAATTATGAAACAATTGTGGATTGTGACGTGGTTTATGATTTCAATCACAATATATATTGTCAACATATTTCATGACATGAAATATATTGAAATACATTGAACTAATAATTTCTGGGTTGTAGAGGAGAACTACTTTTTTGGTAGTATTAGTGAAATGTGTAACTTACTTAGTATGTTAATCCAGCATCACTTTCAATCTCTCTGTTCTACAGTGCTAAAAATTATGTTGATGATGTTCTTATATGTGATATTTCTTTTACATTGTGATGCAGCCATGCGTTTTGTTTTGTTTACAGAATAAGGAATCAGAGAAGCCTTCTGAGACTAGCAAAATGTTAATCTCCATGGCTAAAGAAAATATACCTCCAAATAATCAACAGAACTATCCTTTAGGTAGAGTATATTTTCTTTATATGTCTTCTAGATTTAAGTAGCATTTAATTACCTTTGAGAATTTTTGGAATGGAATTACTGCTTCAGATTTTTAATTATAAGGTGATCGTTATAATTCAAGTGCATACCTATTCTTCAGTCTTCCAAACATCTTGGGATTGTGTGGAATTTTTTTTTGTAGTTATGCTTATTTTTGAATAAGGAAAATATGCTAAGCACTTCCTTTTTCTTCTTGTAAAGGTAGCTCTATTAAAAAACAAAACAAAAAAAAACAAAACTAAAAGCTGCTTGCCAGTCTTTGGCAGATGATCTGCCCTTTCCTGTTGTATTTGGGTGGAGCAAAAGCTTTGGAAGTCCATCCTTCATCTGGACTTTACTGCAAAAGGGTACGTTCCCTGTACTTTGGGCCAGGGAAGTAAGGATGCCTTTTCTTTCAGCTTCTAAGCTTAAGAGTCCTAGTCAAACTTGGCTAAAATGCAGACAGTTAAACTAATTTTTCTTTTAAATGCTAAGTGTCTTTTAAACCTTTAGGCATAGAGTACTGAACTGATTGTATTGCTTTTGTAATTTTGTTATAATAATTAGTAGTCTCGTGGTTTACCCCTAGCCAGTAACTAAGCACCATGCAGCCGTTTACTCACTCCCCCCCACCCAGTAGGATGGGGAGAGAATCAGAAAAAAAAGTAAAACTCGTGGGTTGAGATAAGAACAGTTTAATAGAACAGAAAGAAAGAAACTAATAATGATAATAATTGTAATACTAAAATGACAATAATAATAATAAAAGGATTGTAATATACAAAACAAGTGATGCACAATGCAATTGCTCACCATTCACTGACCAATGCCCAGTTCGTTCCCAAGCAGCGATCCCCACCCCATCCCCACTCCCCCCAGTTTATATACTGGACATGACGTCACATGGTATGGAATACCCCTTTGGCCAGTTTGGGCCAGCTGTCCTGGCTGTGTCTCCTCCCAGCTTCTTGTGCCCCTCCAGCCTTCTTGCTGGGTGGGCATCAGAAGCTGAAAAATCCTTGACTTAGTCTAAACACTACTTAGCAACAACTGACAACATCAGTGTGTTATCAACATTCTTCTCATACTGAGCCCAAAACATAGCACTATACCAGCTACTAGGAAGAAAATTAATTCTATCCCAGCTGAAACCAGGACATGTAGTCATTTACAAGGACTTAGTTTTGGATGAAATCTTAACCAAATGAAATGGTTAGATTTGTTTTGCTGTGACTAATGGTTTAATCACCATTTTCTTTAAAAATACATATTGTCCTATTTTCTTCTTTTCTCTGTGTTCTTTGTGATTTCTGTTTGAAAATGTGTGATAGTGTTCCTTTCTCCATTTTACTGTTTCTGTAATGTGCCACTTTTCCTTACTTGTCCTACCATCTCCTTTCTGTAGGCACTACTGTTTTTCCTTAGTTACACTTGTGTAGCTCATGTTAGTCTTGACAGCTTTAGAGCTTTTCTGTGTCCTACTTCTTGTCGACAGGTAACTCCTTCCTTTAATGTGCAGACACTTTGGTTTTGTACCTCATTAATTTTCATACTATGCTTACTGTAATTCTGGTGTAATTCTGCAGCTTCCAGTGGGAGCAAAAGGTGTACTTTTATTTTAAAGAAGATACATTGATGGATATTTGATGTTGTTTACATAATACCAATCTAATCTATCTTTTAAATAAGTACTCCTGCTACGCTTAATGTTATGTCCCCTCTATAATTGTAACAGAATTTGTGACCAGAAAAGTGCGTGTCTTAAATTAAAAAATGGAGCCTGAGCTTGTGAATCTGGGGGCCTGAACTGATCTTAGCTGCATAAATAAAAACATGGTTTTTGTAAGGATGTTGTAAAAGTAGAACTTCCAGCCATCAGCAAGGCAAGCTCCTCTAAAACCTTTACAGGAAAACTTCACTAAAAATTAACTGAAATGATAACTCAATGTTACTTGCTGCCAGAAGTCATAATGGATAAACTTGGTTAGAGGACAGCACTTGAATAAGTATCTAGCTTACATTTTTGGCAGTTCTATTATGATCAGCAGGCTAGTGCTGGTGTTGATAATTTTTTGCTTAACTGTGGAAACATAAGATGCACAAAATAGAACACAATAGGTAGTATCTCAATGGCCGTGACAGACCACTATGTAACAGTTAAACTATTTTAATATTAAAATAATTTTATCTCTTGTTGGAGAGCTATAATAGCACGTTGTGTTGTGCTTATTATTATAAATTGGACTTAACTGTTGACACCTAAATATAGTAACACACATAATGAAGTATTACAGATGAGGGGTATTCAGGTATTGCTATGTCGTGGTTTAACCTCAGCCAGCAACTAAGCACCACACAGCCTCTCGCTCGCTCACTCTCCCCAGTGGGATGGAGGGAGAGAATCGGAAGGGTAAAAGTGAGAAAACTCGTGGGTTCAGATAAATACAGGTTAATAATTGAAATAAAATAATAATAGTAATAATTAATACATTGTAATGAAAAGGAAAATAACGAAGAGAGAGAAATAAAACCCAAGAAAGACAAGTGATGCAAATGAAAACAATTGCTTACCACCAACTGACTGATGCTCAGCCAGTCCCTGGGCAGTGGTCCCCTGGCCAACCTTCCTTCTAGTTTTATTGCTGAGCATGATGTCATATGATATGGAATATCTCTTTAGTTAGCTGGGGTCAGCTGTCCCAGCTGTGTCCCGTCCCAAATTTTTGTGCACCCCCAGCCTATTCGCTGGCGGGCAGTGTGAGGAGCAGAATAGGCCTTGATGCTGTGTAAGCACTGCTCAGCAAAACCAAAAACATCCCTGTAGTATCAACACTGTTTTCAGCATAAATCCTAACTAGCTACTATGAAGAAAATTAACTCTATCCCAGCCAAAACCAGCACATTCTATAATAACAATTTGGGCACTGAACACATTTGGTTATCAGTGGATGGTTGTTGATATTGGCTGGTTCTGCTTTAAGGTAATGTAATTTCCTTTGGATTAAATTAGACAGGGACTTGTTCCTTGGTAGCTGCTAAATATGTTCTATAGTTCTAGCAGTAGTGTTGAGAATCAGGCTGAAAGAAGTTATAGTTATTTCTCAACATATTAAATGCATGCAAACGTATGTAAAAATGCATTTAAAATCTTAACTTTTTTCTAAAAAAAAAAAGTTGTCAATGTGATTGTGTGTGATTAACAGAATCTGAAATGGCAAATAAATACGGCAAATACAGAATAATCAAAAGCAGAAAACCAATGAAAATGAAAGCATATCTCTTATTTGGACTGAAGAATTCAGACAAATTGTGCACAAAATTAGGATGAATGTATGTTAACTGGACTATTTTTGCCCTGCTAGGCTCTCCTAAAGTAAGTTTTTGAAGTAGGTAGTTTTCAAATATCTCCTAAGTCACTACCTATAATTGTTATCTCAGTGCTTTTCTGGTGGCCAAAAAAAGGTCTTCTGTAATAAAATCAAATTTAAATCCTCTTTTGTTTGAATACTTCATGTGTTTGAATCAAAGTACTTGACTCTCACAGATTTTTTTTTTTTTCTGTTCTGAATTTTGTTGGCTTCTGTGAAGTTACTGAACGCATCTTCACTCTGAGATGTTAGTTACTTTTGATCTTTTTCTTGGTTTCCTATAGTTAATCCAACAATAATTTCATGTGAAAATAAAAGGCAAGAGCAAGTAGCTGAAACAAACTCCTTCCTCTTCTGTATTCTGTTCCTCTTTACACTTACCCCTTTTTCAAGAAGTGAAATGGTCCATTATTTTTTAACAGAACTCACACTTGCCTTATGTGCAAAATTAGTTGAAAAGTAACTTGCAGGTTGGAGAAGAAGCTCCCATGCAGATTTTTGCTAGTAGTTGAACTCTGTAAGCTGTTTCAAAATAGTCTATGACATACTTAATCAGGTATTAGGTCCTTTGGTTCTACATAACAGCAGGCTGACTCCTGTTCTGGTTCTCTCTCTCAAGCCAAGCCAGCCGAGTTCATTTTTATTAAGTATATTTCAACCTTTTATCTGTTTCAGTAGCAGAGTGATTCCCAAGTTAGCAATTTTCAGCACTTATATAATGTCATTTTTACTGTACAGACACTCATTAACGCCCTAAACATTTAAAATACCAGACTCAAACAACCATGCAATAAATTGGGACTAATGTAAGAGTAAATCTAAAATATCCCTCTCTTCCTTCTTGCTCCTTGCTACTTATTTTACATAGACTTTAAGATGTAGAAATGCTTTCGGAGAAACAGCAGGAAATAAAAACCCCAAACAGTTGCAATCTTTGTCTCTTGGTGTGTAGTTTTGTGGAATTCACTAGCTCTCTGTGGAGAGTGGTGAAAGTGGCTGCAGAGGTGGGCTTCTGGGGCAGAGGATATTTCTTATAAAGCACTTTAAAATGTGTTTTAGGAATGACAAACAACTTGCATAGCATTATATTTTAAGAGTGCAGCTGTTACGAGACCTGACAGTAATCTTGGAAAAGTACTGAATGTGTGTTTGGGGTCTACTACAATTAAAAACACTGAGGTGGAAAGAAAAAATTATTATTATTGCCATATGGTCAGATTCCTTCTAGTTGTGTGGAAGCCAACATATTTTTCACATGCTTTGTGCTAAACAAATAGCTTGTTCCTTTCTAGGTGGAAAGTATGGTTTTTATTGTGTGATAAGCACAGCTTAAAATGTCAAGAGTAATTTAGAAACTAACACCTCAAAGGAGATTTCCTTTGAAACATACAGTGACAAAAGAAATAGGTACAATATTTAGGTTATTTTATACTCTTTGTCAAACTATCCAAATAAGTTCAGTTTATGTTGCTTTTTTTTTTTAGTGGGGAGAAGAAGCAAAACAACTAGAGAAAAACTAACATCCAAAACCTAATCCATTTTTCTATGCTTTCTACCCAACTACTCATACAGAGAAGGTGTTTTTATTTCAGCTGTGTTGTAATTACTGGTTGCGTAGTTAATTTTTTTTATTGCTGATGTCTAATAAAAATCCAGATGTAGCTTTTGCAGGGTGTGCTTTGTATTGATACAAAATAGTAGAATAATAATATTTAACAGTGTTAAACTTTCAGGTGACTATGGCTTGAGTTTACCACTTGGAGAAGAATATGAACGAAAAAAACATAAACTCAAAGAGGAACTTCGGCAAGATTATAGGCGATATCTTTCTCAGGTAAGGCATCTTGTCTGGTTGCCTAAGTTTAGTGAGTCTTTTAAAATGACTCTCTCATTTTAATTGAACTAAAATTAATAAAATCTGTGGAAAAATCTTTGTAAGAAGGCGTTCCTTATAAGCGATGACTAATCTCGAAGACTCGAGTGGAAGTAATTTCAGAATGTCACTGCTAGGAAGGGCTATGTATTTCAGGCTTCTATAGATCTCATTGCCATGAGACTACATATTACTTAGTACAATTTATTATGAATATTTTTGTTTATTTGTGTCTACTTCTTTCTTAGTTTCTTCTTAAGAATTTAAAGTATCATCTGTTAGTTCCTTAAGTACTTATGTATTCTATGGTCTGTAATTCAGGTAAGAATATTCCTATAATTAGTGTGACTCCATTTGACAGCTTCTTTTCAATTTTAGAAATAAAAAAACTTTGATGTTCTGCTTAATATGATTTATTAAATGTCACAGTAAATTTAAAATTGAAATGATATGTATGAAATGCCATAATCTTGGGAATATTCTGTATCCCTTCTTAGGCAAACAAAAAAAAATCAGGAACCAAATAATTTCTGTTGTCTGAAAATGTTAATTATCAGTGTCTTTAGTTCTTAAAATGAAAGAATGGATTGGCTTTAAGAAAAGAAGTCTTTTTTGTTAAGTCAAATATTTTTGAATTAAAGACTCTTTTTCAATAGTATTTTTTCCCTGACTTTTAGGGTATTTCACAGGCAAAAAGAAAGGTAGGGTGCCTGCAATATAAATTTTTTTTTCTCTTCAAATTAGTAGCTTTTTGCTTTGTTTGAAAGCTTTTTGCTTTTTGAATTGGAAAAAAAAATTACTTTTTTGTGCTTTGTTTGTGCATGCTGTAGTGATTAGTTGTGATTAACAGCATTGCTTGCTTTGTGCAGAATGATTGCTTGTATTTATTATTTTCCATTAATAAGATTTTAAAACACTTGTTGATTTCATTTTCCCTTTGCAATTGCTGTTTTTGCTGTCTAATGCTGATTCTGCAAAAGTTTTTCTTTTAATAGACGTTTGCTTCAAGGCTTGTCAGTTACATAGATGTTATGAGTTCAGATTTTTTCTTTTTTCTTGATATACATACTTTATAAAGCTGGAACGAAACTGTAAACTCTGAAATAATATAATACGTCATCAGAACCAGAGTCAGGGCTCCTCCCCCACCCATCATTGTGAAATCTCATCGGTGGTGCTTAGGAAAGTAGTAGAGCCAGTTATTCAGCACCTAGTGGCCAGAATGCAAGAATACAAGTATTGTGAGGAAAAAATAATACCAGAGGCACATTTTTGCAAGTTTTGTTCAATTACAGTAATTTTAAATTATTTATATCATTATACTGTCATGTTTATATAATTTTCAAATTTAACGCTGTCCGTCCAGGTTGCTCAAATTAAGCAGCTTCAGTAAAGGACCGGGAGGTAACGTGGTAGAAATACAACCTTCTGGTTTTTCTGGGGCTTTGAATAACATGGGTATGATACAAATTAACTATATTAGCATGCACTAGAATTTCTGAATAAGAATAGCAACAGCAGAATTAACTGGCTTCTTAACCTCTAATGGAAATGATGCTTATATAATTGTTGCTTCTTGTTTAATCTTAAATTTCAGATTATTTTCAGAGTTAGAATATTGTGTTAAAACTTAATGTTTCATAATTCTCACCAAAGTACCCAAATAATACAATTTTTATATTAACTTCTAGTGTTTTATTCTCAGTTGAACTTCAGTTTTACAAATTTAGGTTTACAAGTTTTTTGTTTGTTTGTTTTTTAATGTAGTATACATTAGCTTTAAGCTTCTAAGGCCTGAGGAAGACATAGGATAACAATCTCTAATTTCTTTTCCCCACTTAAAGAGGTAGTGCAACTTTTAGCAGCTCTCATAGTGATAATATTTTGGTTAATAACTTGTTTAGTCTCGCTTATGTAGCAAATGCAGTTTCCATTTCAGCTTCTGATTTTTGGCAAATACTTTTTTAAGATCAGAGGTAATCTCTACAGATGTGTTCAAAGTGTGAAAAGAATTACTTAAAAATGAGGATTACAATTTATTTACTTCTTCTAGTAAAAATAACTTAGTTCTTTATATTAATCCATTTGTCTCAGTGCTTGAATATTTGCATGGTTATTAAATCCCTTAAATCTTTTAATGTGTAGTTGTGAAATATAATTCATAATGATGTGGGTTTGTACTGGAACAGGTAGAGCTTTTACCTGTTGATGTGCCTCTAAGCTTTTAAGCTATGTTATGACATAATGATGGAAGGAAACAATGCTAGTGAAATACTGTATCTAACCCATTCCCCTCATCAGCCCATGCCACACAGATAGATGATCTTTTTATTAAAGATAATCAGATTTATAGAACATAGGTGATTGACTGAGAATAGCCTGGGGATGCTTTTAGTAAATGAGTGATGTATGAAAAAGCCACTAGACCTGGAAGCTGAGGACCTGTTCCAGCATTGGTGTTTGATTTGAAAGGCTGATACTTTGACTTGCTGTGCAGCCCAGTTCCCCAGCTACAGCCCAGGGAGCTATATGGAGCAACAATATAGTGTTTTCAATGGAACGGTCTGTTCTGAAAGTGACTGATGGTCCATAAGTAATTATAAGATTTGTTGATGGGTCATTATCCTGAAGAGTTTGGGGACTGCTGCTGTAGAAAACAGTGTTGAGATGCAGAGTGGTAACTGTGCTCGAGTTATCATAGATTCCATCTATTAAAATAAGAGGTAGACATATGTTTTCTGCTGTTAGAAAAAGCAGTTTTTGATCTTAAGTAAGGTAGTATCTTGGAAAATTCCTCTTATGCTTGTATAGATGCTTGTGCTTATGCTACTTGCTTACAGGAGAATGGAGTAACGGTGGGGTTTTTTTGAACAAAAATACATTTTTTTAATATACAGAGACTAACTTATATAATCCTTGAAATAGTGCAACAGGGAAGAAGTGACATGCACTTTCAAACTCAAGCTTAAAGATTGACAAAGCCCTTTTCTTTCTGCATTCCTTGACTGCACTTCATTCGTGTGTTCCAAAAACATTCTGCATTTTCAAAATGTGAAGGTTGTCTTCGGTCTTTATTTCATTAAATTGGTCAGGTTTATTTCAGAAAATATAATTCTGAGCAACTATTTAGCAAGTAAGATTTGGTATTTTAAAATACATTGAATGATTTTTATTTTTTTTAATATAGAAAAATTACCTGACTACTGGTGAAGTAGATCCATATACTCAGGGATTATCTCTTCATATTGATGAGCGAAGATCTGCGAAGGTAAATATGTGGAGGAAATTAAGTGGTGTATAACTTGAAAATGAACCTGGATGTTTAAACTGTTGTGGAAAAATTACTTCCACTTAAGTTTTTTTGTTCGGTTGGGTTTTTTTACGCTGTTTACAAATGAACATTTTTGGAGGTGGTCATTAGAATAATTTTCAGAAAAGTCAAGTCTTTAAATTTTGTTGTTGTTTTTAAGTTTTTAATCCTAGGTTACATGTACCCTTAATTTTTAGATAATTAGATGTGTAATTCTATACCAATACTAGTTTGAGGTTTGCTACTTCTAATTCACACCTGCAGGGCACTTGGTGTGTTCAAAAGCTCTAGTGGTTGTGCTTTGGTTTTGTTCAGCAATAAATATTGATCTAATAAAGAACATTGTTTTTCTTATATATACTTTTCTAATTTATTACTCTTCTTACTGCAGCTTGGGGCTAATTTTAAAAATATTTGCTTGTCGTTGTTTCTACAGTGATACTCTTATCAGTTCCTATCAGAACTAAAGGAAATGTATTTTCTGCTCTACACAGTTTATTTTGATGTCTCTGTGTACGCTTAACCTACCTGCTTAAGCTAGTGTGAGTGGGGTTTTTTGGGTTTTTTTTGTTGTTGTTTTGTTTTTTTTAACAGATAAATCCAGGAATCTAAATAAAAGCTGGTCTGGTATTTCACATATTGCCTGTTGTTAATATAGGCATCTTCCCAATTTCAAATCTTTCTTTGAGAATACAGATACTAATGTGTTTTGTGAAAGGAGTACCCATTCTCTCTCTGCGTTTAGCCCCTTTGATCTCCCTGAGGTTTCTTACCAGTTCATGGTCTTGCTTTCATATGTTGGAGAAAGATACCAGCCATAACAGTCTCTCTGCTATTGGAGGTTCGTGGAGGTTAGAATATGAAGATGGAACACGCATACATGGATTTTCTTAACCTCTGATCTATTCCTCTGATGCATAGTATGATTCTGTGAAAGCCTAAATCAGCCTTACAGGGGTCACCTCTCCTCTTCCCCTCATGCTGTTGGCCTGGTATTCCCAGTTCCTTTCTTGTGTTTGCTTGTAAATTGATCCAGGAAGTTGAATCAGCAGAAACATTGTAATTTAGCAAATATTTTTGCTGACTCAATGAATACAGCTGGTTGGTTCTTAGGCTAGTTTAAACCCCAGTGGAGATGCAAGGCAGAAAGAGAAACTATGTTGCTGGTGGAGGACTGGCCTGTTGCATCCTGGGGGGGTTTATTTGTTTTTGTTTTTTTTAACCTATGTTGCCTTGGAGTTGCATTGTTGCTCTGCGTTTCGGGCTATGCTGTCACTGTAATCTGGCACAAGACTTCTGCTATGGAATGTGTTGGTCTTGCCATTGCTGTGCTTACTTATGCTTTCTGCCTCTCTTGTGCTGGCAATAATGTTTGGCCATATGAGGAGCCAGGTGAGAACTCAAATAAGTGAAAATTGCTGTTATGAAAAAGCCCCAAACTCCAAATCATGCTAGTGTTAAAAAGAAGGGAGGCAGCAAGACTGAAATGTCCAGGAAGGGGAAAGGACTCCTCAGTGGCAGCATGCACTTGGGCCGAGTTTGTTAGCTTCAAGTTCTCGTGACCTTTGTGTTAACCCTTGCGAGTATGTGTGCTGAAACAGTGAAAGATAAAATATCTTTGATTCATTCTGTGGAATTAAAGACGTATCTGAACTGGGAACATGTCTGATCATTGATGGTTTTATATCATAGCAGCTCAACATTCATTGAGATTTTCTGTACAAGTGCGTTGTATCCTTTTTACCGATTTGTTTGTCGCTATTGCAGAACCTAAAAGCTACCAGAAGATGTCATACTGTACCCTGCTAAACGGTTAGCCTCGGGGCAGATAATGATTAGAGGTTAACAGTTGCATTTTGGTTTCTTCTATTAGGTAAAATGTGCAGTCACACAGCATATTGAATTTTCTGCTGAGTGCTTTGCCACCTGTTAAAGACAATGCTAGTTTCTCAGCTTTGGAAAATAACCCTCAGGCAGCTTTCATAGCTGTTTACAGGTTTTATATTGTCATGTCAGAAAACCTATAGACACAAATTTGGGGAAAAAAAACAGTTTTGGGGAGCATTGGTTTCATTTGCAAAACTATTATTAAGCTGGTATTTCCATGGTGATTGAGGTATAAATTATTTTTGTTTGAAATTTGTTCATGTGAGAGTAAATATATATATATATATATATATAATGTTCAGATTTTTTTAATACCTTTTGCTTTTTTATTGGAAAATACTGCAGTGGAGAAGAGCATGATTTGTAATACTGTGATATAATTCTCTTTTTTTCATTTATATGATGGTTGAAATGAGGTAGTATAAGAGATGCCCCATGCTCTAAACATAAGTTACTAATATTAGGAAATAATGCAAATTAGGGTTTGCTTTACCCGGAGACTTTGGTATTTCATTTTATATTCTTAGGCTATTGATGTATAATTCCTGCATGTTTTTAGACCTGAGCAAGCTGGTTATAAATGTCACCTTGCAAAAGCAGCTAAGACAAGGTGGATAGATCATGTTTTTCTTAGTTTTCCTTGCATTCTGTGCACTTTTGACTCTTTTTGCAGTCAGCTTAACTGCTTGTTTGAATTTGACAGTTCAAGTTATATTCTAAGCTATAATTGACACATCTTGTCTGCACGTGTATTTGTTGTCCTGTTTTAATTATGAGTGGGGCAAGTCACAACTAACCTTAACACAAAAAAAATTTCGTATGTTTAAGTAATCTGTAAATACATTCAGATTGGGAATTAAAAGGTGATTTCTAATTGTCAAAGGAGCGAGGCTTTGGAACAGTTTTGGAATAGATTTAGCAGGGGGAAACCTAACAGGTTTTAAGATGGAACTTGATATACAGTAATGTTACTGGGGACTAGACTTCATGCCCAGGAAGCTAACTTCTACTTACAGATTTCCGATTAAGAGAAAGTACTATGTTCCAGAATGAAAAAAAAAAACAAACCACCCCAAAAACAAAACCCCAAAAAAACAAAACCCCAAAAAAACCCCACAAAACCTCAAAGCAATTCAAGCTCTATTTGTACATCACAATGAAGGGGGAGGGCAAACACACAGCTTGCATGTATTCATTTAATACTGCAGTTCTATGAAGTTAAAAGCTACTCAAAAATACAAAATTATGATGCCCTTTTCAATGCCTGTTTCAGGAGAAACTACGGCTTGAAAGAAACAAGGAGTACAATCAATACCTCAGGGATAAAGAAGAATGGAATGAAAGACTAAGGAAATTAGGGAAGAAAACCACAGAGGTAATACAGTTTTACTAAAGCTGATACAAAGAAGAACATAAATGATCTTGTCAATTGTTTTATCATTGACTAAGGTATACAAAGTAAGACAAAATAAGAAAAGAATGTTGTTCAATTGGCCACAGTTTTATGAATATATCTAGCAAGTCCTGGTTACAAGTCATACAGTACAGTTCTCGATTCCTACTTCAGTCATGTCTGTCTGATACAAGGATGCTTTCATTCTTCTGTGTGTCTGAAGCAAGTCCCTGGATTGTTCTTGGTGATAAAAGTGGTGGCCAAAAAAGCCGTCTCTTTGGACAGAATGTTGAACTCCACACAGTGTTCCTTAGCTTTTATTTGTAGCTGCTTTTTCCTCAGTCTGTGTCCAGTTCATGAGAAAGCAAGGCAAGTGCAGGCAACTGTCTAGTATATGGTGCTGTGCATTTATGAATCAAAAAAAAAAAAAAAGCCTTTACTACTGAAAGTGAGCTAGATACATGCATAATTGAACTCGGAGTCTGAGCTGAGGCCTTTGATTTGTATGGCAGTAGGCAGCTAAGCACCACACAGCTGCTTGCTCACTCCCTGCCCCTGCTGGTGGGATGGGGGACAGAATCAGAAGGGTAAAAGTGAGAGAACTCATAGGTTGAGTTAAAGACAGTTTAATAGGCAGAGCAAAAGCCCCGCACACAAGCAAACCAAAACAAGGAATTCATTCACCACTTCCCATTGGCAGGCAGGTGTTCAGCCATCTTCAGGAAAGCAGGGCTCCATCATGTGTAAGTTACTTGGGAAGACAAACACCATCACTCTGAATGTCCCCCTGCTTCCTCCTCCTTCTCCCAGCTTTTATTGCTGAGCACAATGCCATATGGTATGGGATATACCTTTGGTCAGCTGGGATCAGCACCCCCAGCTGTGTCTCCTCCCAGCTTCTTGTGCACCCCCAGCCTCCTTGCTGGTGGGGCAGTGTGAGAAGTAGAAAAGCCCTTGACACTGTGTTAGCACTGTTTCAGCAGTAACTAAAATATCGCTGTGTTATCAACTCTGTTTTCATCACAAATCTAAAATATAGCCCCATACGAGCTACTCGTGAAGAACTTTAACTATATCCCAGCCAAAACCACTACAACAGACAACAGGGGATTTTTAGGTCTAATTAGCATTGTTGTGAGACCCTTTGTTTTAGTAATCTGGAAGCAATATATTGATCTGAGAAAGTCTCTCTACTGCTTGTTAGTTGTAAAATCTTGTGTAGACTGGATAAATTTTGTTTTTTAAATATTGTTGCCTTAGTTTAGTGATGGACTGCAATAATTTGTAACTCTCATCTAATGCAGGTTTGATTTAAGAAGGCCTTCCACTTTTTTTTAATATGGACATTCTTAAGTGTACAGTAGTGTGAGAGCTAGGTCGTCCTATGAAGGGACTTGTGTTTGTACTTGGAACAGCTGAAAGTTTGTTGTCTTTCTTACAGCAGTCGGCAAGTGCAAATACCCATGTATTTATAAGTTCTATCTAGAAGAATGTTTCTTGTCTGTCTCCAGAAAGATTGTTTTCTTATGAGAAAGATCTTTTCCTCCAAGTGCATTGGTGTGTCATATAGTTGAAAACCATTTTAATCTGTGAAGACAGCTATAAGGCAGTATTCAGGCATCATTTAGATGTTGGAATTCAATATCTGATTCTTCTTGGCTTCTTCAAGGGTTGGAGTGCTACACAACAGTGATCCCTAGAGAATATGTGGCAAAAATGCAGCTTTTGTTTGTGTAACTGAGTCTATAAATCTCTAAAGACCTTTCTACATGTTTGGGCATTTGTTTCCTCAGCTGACTTACCTAATCAAATCTATTTAGGGAGTGAAGGTTTTTTCTTTCTGCTTTGTTTGTTATCCCATTGGACCTGTATGTTATATTTTTATTATTCTTGTGTAGAAACAATTTTGCTGTCATAAAAGAACAAACAGGAAGAAAAAACTGGTGAGGATTTGTTGAGGTTCTTCCATCTCTGAGGGATATTTGACTTGGAGTAGGAGTCAAAAATGGGTCTTACGATTAACATATGTGACCTTAAATTTTGATACAACAGTTTAGATAATCACAGGATAAACTTAAGTTGTAAAGAACTTCTGGAAGTCCTGTAGTACAATCCCCTGCTCAGACCAGGGTTAACTTCACAGTTAGATCAGGTTGGTCAGGCCTTATCTGGTTGAATTTTGAAAGGATGAAGAATCCACAGTTCCTCTGGGCAGCCTGTTCCACTGCCTTTAACTGCTTGATCTGAACTTCTTTCCCTCTGTATCCCATCGAAATTTCCTTTGCTGCAACTTGTGACCGTTGGTTCTTTGAAGACCATGATTCTGGCATCTCTGTAACCATGTGTTAGGTAGAGACTGCAATTACTAGTTCCTCCTGCCCACATACATACTCTCCTTAACCTTCTTTTTCCAGGCTGAACAAACCCAGCTCTGTCAGCTTCTCCTTTATGAGCTCAAGTGCCTTAACCATCTCAGTAGCCATCCTCTGCACTTTCTCCAGTTCATCAGTAAACATGGGGAGGGGGGGAAACTGGGCACACTATACCAGAACCTGAATACTGAATAAATACTGAGCAGAGGAGGAGGATTACTTCCCTTGACCTGCTGATGACACACTTGCTAATGCAGCCCAGCAAGGGTGCTCTGCTGACTCATGTTCAGCTAGTTGCCCACCACTAACCCAGGCCTTTTTCTGCAAAACTGATTTCTAGACAGTGCCCAGCCTGTATTAGTGCATGGCATTATTCTGTCTCAGATGCAGAATTTTGCATTTGCTTTTGTTGATCTTCGTGAGCTTTTTGTCATCATATTTTTCCAGTTTGTCAGACCCTTCTGAGTGGCAGTCATACCCTCTAGTATATTGATTCCTCTTCCCAGTTTGGTGTCATTTGCATCTTTAATTTATTTCTCATTGCATTTTGTAAAGTATGAGTTACTGTTACCTTTATTCCACAGATGAAAGATTAGTGCACAGAAATACTACAGGATTTATCCAAAACCATGTTGATTGCTGGAACTGTGTGTATTGAACACTGGTCCAGTGTGTCATAGGGTTGTTTTTTATCCACTAAACTCTCTTTTGTCATAGTGACGTCTTCTGGGGAGCAAAGAAATAGATTAAGAAATGGTCAAGTTAAAAGGTTGTTCTCATAGGTAAGAAGTATTACAGACTTGCCTGAATCTGGATAGAATAAAGATGTCTAGTCTCTTGATGAGGTATTCAAAGTGTTTTTTGATTCTTTGCAGCTCTGAATCTGAAGGTCAAATTGGGGTTTGTAAAAGGCCTGTCCAGGATTGATAGCCATTCTTCTGAAAAACATTAGATAAGAGGAAAAGTAGTCTTTTTTCCTCGAGGAAAAAAAAAAAATCCCTAGTTTTTAAGCCTTTCTTGAAGTATTTTTCTTGCTCACCTCCTACCTTTTCTCCAGTACCTGTTCAGGGATTGTTTGAAGAAATACAAAACCAAGTTTTTGCTCAATGTGATTTGTTTATGTTCAGATATTTTAATTTTTTTCTTTTCCCATTAAACAGAATGAGATGGACAGGAATAAAAAAACTATTGCTGTTACCAGGCTCCAGCCAGAACTACGTACAGAAGTACAGCCCTGTAATACAGATGCAGAACCTCCCAAGAAGGATGCCTTTACTTCTACAGAAGGTTATGAAGAGCTGCTAAATAAGAGATGGCTGGAGGAAGACAGGTATCATAGGTTAGATGATGAGGTTGAATTAAGAAGTGGACTATTGAATAAAAGACGTGATGAAGATTTGGATGTTCCCAATCGAAGACATCGTGGATTTGCTAGCCAATCTGTAATTCCTATTAGGAAGCATCACAGACTTGATGAGGATCGTGATTTTGGTAGAAGATACTACAGAATGGACTATGATCCTGAGATAAGTGACGAAATGGACCCTAGATTTAGATGTGAAAGTGCTTATGACAGAAAAACTCCCCGGGTTTTTTATGCTGAAAGGTATTCTTAATTCTGTTTTTCTGCTATATTTCTGTAGTGCTTGTTGACAGCTGTGGTTTGGTCTCACTGAAAATTAGACAAGACTCCCATGTGAAAGCAGGATTTTTGTGCTTACTTTAAAAAAGAACTCTGCAAAAATTTTTAGAAAAAATATTTAAGAATTGGACCAGTACCTAAGATTATACATCATACATTAGGGAGCGGAGGGTGTTTTAGATAAATCATTCTGAAGGAAAACTAATATTATGTACAGTTCATTATTAAATAGGCTTTACTGTATTAACTGATAAATCAGTTTGGTTACTTTGGCATAAGTTGTTAATCTTTCTCTTCTAGCTCGCTCATTTAAAAGAGAAAAAAAAAAGCATAACCTTCCTAATCCTTCAGGGTTTGGCAGTCTGGCCACTTTCAGTTATTCCATTGCAAGAACCAGTTGCTTTCAAAACCAGATGGGTTGTGGTATGAAATAGTACCAAACTTGAAAGAGATGTGTTTTATGCAGCTAAACTCAAATGAAATAAAGCAGTAAAGTTTCTTGTAAATAAGTTTTAAAAAGGTACTTGAAGAGTGTTCATTTGTTCACTTTACAGATCTTGGGAACATGAGTGTTGTAGATGCCTTTTTTTTTTTTTTTTCCTTTGTGTTAAGCCTGCTGCCAGAGCTATTTTCCTGCGGTTGCTTCAGTGAAGGAAACACCACTGTCTTTCCCTTGTTAGGCGAAATAACCGCTTTTTTTTTTTTTCATAGAATTAACACTTGTAGAAAAAACAGAAGACAAATTGTACCACTCTCAACAGTGTTAAATATTATGATCATGTTTCGTTGTTAATTGCTGGTAGAGTGGTTAAATGATCTTTTGAGTCACTGTTTGCAGGTATAACTTTCTATATAGTATTGCAAATTAATAACTGGGAAAAACAAACCCTAAAATACTCTTCTACTGCAGAAGCCTTTTCTACATTGAATGAAGTCATGCTTCTTTTCCAGTTTCAAATGCCAATAGAGTTAAAATAACTTCTTTACAAAAATAGGTTTTGATATTCTTTCTCAGCCGTTTAAAAAAAAATCATAAAGGAATGAAGTAACTATGGAGAAAATGAAATGTCTGGAAGCATTTAGGAGATGCAGACTTAGTAAATGGGTTATTTCAGAGTTTCAGACTGTATGTTCAAATGTGCTTCTAAAAGCACGTATTTATTCATACAATGTTTCTGAAAAAGTCCAGCAAATGGAAACAGTGGTTAAATAGATAGCAGGAACAAGATTGCCCATTTTCTGCTGAATGAGATTCAGAGAAGAGAATATGAAATGCAAAAATTGTTCCATCCTATAGTGTAATATTGGTAGGAATGAGCAAAGGAGGTTTTAGGGTAGGCTTGTCTTGTCCTACAACTTTTCAGAAAGAAAAATATTAGAAGCTTGACTTGGTGTCTAACAAAGGTAACCAAAATGCTTATATTTTTGAGATTAACAGCAACATTAATCCTCTGTGTTAATTAACACCCAGAAGGATGAATGTCCTCTTTTGACTAGGTAGCTGTTTGCCATTGTCTAATGCAATTGGACAAAGTCCAATATTTAAATAAAAATGACCATTTGATAAAGTTTGAGGGTTTGCTTTGTTTCTCAAAGAATATATACATAATTATATATGTAAAATATCAGCAAGGATGGTGTTTGAACCAACAGTGGACAGTATCATGTTGAATAGAAGTATATTAGTTCTTGGTTATCCCAGAAAACACTGATGGTGCTTATATAAATGTCTGTGACCAATATATCACTAGGCAACCCATTGCTTATTTGGAGAGGCCTCTGAAACAGTTTTAGTTCCAGTTTTCTTTTAAAAGGAAGTACAGAAGATACTTTGTTATTGGCAACTTGGTGCATCTTCTTCAGATAAAAATTAAGGTTTGGTTTTTTTTAGTATGTATTTTCTACTTTGCTGTATTTTTATTGAAAATTACTTTACTTTTTTATTAAATGTGCTTTGTAATCTAGTACTTTTTTCCTCCTCTGCAAGGAGCTCCAGTTAACCTTTTATGAACTATATTCAGTCTCTTTTCAAGAAGGAGAAACACATCTATTAGTTACTGACAGCTCAGCTTCTGAAGAGTTAGCATTTTTTTTCTACATTTCAGGCAAAGTCAACTTTTCCAGAATACATTTGATTCATGACAGAAACTGAATTCATAAGGAGGAATATTTTTATTCACTGTACTAAAATTTTTATGTTTTTAAATGGGCTTTATTAGTTTGGAGGTGTTTGTAGCGGGACTTTTCAGAAAGGTTTCTGTTTTGAAGGAGGCACGAGGACTGTGGCATATTTCAGCAAATAGAAATGGTGACAGGAAAGTGAGACGAAGTGCAAAATGTTTTGGTTCTTAGGAGTGGAATGCTTTAGTCCATCCCCAGCAGCCAGGTCTGTCCTATAAACAGGATACAACAGCTTCTTGATTGAATTGGGCCAACGTGTCTGGATCTGCCATGCTAAGCTTGCTGCTTTTTACAGAAAAGGTTGCCTCTTGGATCCCAAGGTTTGTTTCTTTGCTTCCTCCCTGTATCCTTTCATCACACTTTGGACTAGGCTTTCTGTTTCCTGACTGTGTTTCAGTCTTACATGACCAGCCTTGTAAGTAGCAAATTGATCGTTATCAAAATGATGATCTTGATCATGAAAGAAGATCATGTTATGCCAAGAGGATGGATGTCGTTCTTTCATGCTGTTCTTGTCAGTTGTTAAGATGCCAAATCAATGTTTAATAATCTGCTTGTATCCTTTTGCCTTTGATTATTGGCTTTTATTTAAATTACAGAGATGGGCAGAGCTGTGGATCTTTTTGCATAAAAGAATAAGATGAGGTTTTTTTCTGTGTTTACCTAGGTTTTTTGTTGGTTTTTTGTTTTTTGGTTTTTTTTTTGCTTAATAGGAAGACCATGGCTCTGTCCAGCTCTGGAAAATATATAACTTTGTTAGCATCTTTTTGGTACTTTATTTTTAATTGAATAGCTATTCTTGCCTTATTTTATCAAGATAACTTGAAGTCCTCATTAAAGAGTAGTTAATTTGCAAGGCAGGAAAAGCCTGTAAATTCAACTACCCCAGATCTTTTCCTGAAAGCTCCCTTGTGTCCATGCAATTTTTGGCATCTTTAGAATTATGTGAAGTTTCAATTATATTACTTCATATGTAGATGATTCACATTTTAGCTCCTGAATTTTTGTATTCACCATGTTACCTGTCTTTTATCTTGATCAAAAGTCAACTCTCTCTTTTAAATGGTATCAGGTGCATAGTGAAGGTTAGGTTGTCATTAAAGAAGCTTTTCATATATTAATTAACTGTTTCACCAGACTTGCCCAATAGCTGTGTGCCGAAATCTGTTGTAGACTTTGTTGGCTCCTGGGGTTTAGGAGCAGCAAGATCTGTTTCAATTAATGCAGTGTGAATGCTGAATGCTCTTCAGCTCTCAAAACTTTTAACCAGGCTCAGTAGATAAAGGTTACATGAAAGCAGGCTTGGGAATTCAGACTCCAGACAGCTGCCTTGACAATGCTAGCAAAGTGAATTATTTCTAGAAATTCTGTGTGATATTTTCAGAACTGGTTCTGCCATCCAGTGTGCAGTCATGCTGAGGATCCATTTGCATGGAACTGCTGGACGTTCCATTTCAGATTGGATGTTTTTAGGCAAGCATAGCTGAATATTTTCTATTTTTTTGAGGCCCTATCTGGATGGAATAGGAAGAGATCTACTTGCAGATTATGAAGACGAATTAAAAGAGAGAGCACGTGTGCAGCAGATCTCAAGAACTGGAAATTCTAGGTGTGGTATACAGTGTATTTTTCTGATAATTGCACTACAAAATCATGGTGAAAGGAAAATACTTATTTAAAATCCCTATTGTGTTGTCTGAAATGGCTGATAGTTTTCCTGCAGCTAGGATATAGTAGAACAAGAAAAATATGTTTCCTTTGAGAACAGCTGTTGAAGCTTGCATGCTAGTTTTCTTTCTGAAACAGTAGATCACCTATTTTCCAGCTGAAGACTTCTAATGATTAGAATAACCATAGAATCATAGAATCATTTAGGTTGGAAAAGACCTTCAAGATCATCGAGTCCAACCATCATCCATGCCCACTAAACCATGTTATGGAGTACCCCCTCTACGTGCTTTTTGAATACCTCCAGGGATGGTGACTCAACCACTTCCCTGGGCAGCCTGTTCCAATGTCTGACAACCCTCTCAGTAAAGGATTTTTTCCTAATATCCAACCTAAACCTCCCTTGCCGCAACTTGAGGCCATTTCCTGTCATCCTATCTCTAGCCACCTGACAGAAGAGACCAGCACCCACCTCACTACAACCCCCCTTCAGGTAGTTGTAGAGAGTTATAAGGTTTCCCCTCAGCCTCCTCTTCTCTAGACTAAACGTGGAATCCTTTTTCATAGTAGTTTTGAAATTCCCTTTTTTACCCCCCTTGTCTTGGTTTTGCAAGTCCTGAAGTGATCTAAGTGGATGAGGCAGAAGCAGAACACTTGTAAAGCCCTTACATAAACTCTTGACTGGCACCACTCAGTCTGTCAACATTGTTGAAGTGCTCAGCTGAGTCAGTGTTTCTGATGGCTTCAGAAACCGCAGGCAAATGAGAACTGTGAGCAGATGCCTTTTTGCCAGGTGGTTTCTTCTTTTGCTTGTGATATTTCTTCAGATTTTAGCAAAGCTGTTTGTCATAAATGTATCTATCATGTTTCACACAGACTGCAAGTAAATTCTCAAGTTTGATCTCTCCATTTCCTTTTTTGTCTTTGCCAGAAATCAGGTACAAATTAGTTCTTCAGCTAATGAACAGGCCAAGTCTGCAGCTGAAATGCCGTATGGAACAGGCCTTGTTCTTGGTATGTATAGAAGCCTAACTCGTGACACTGAGTTAGCCTTTCCTTGCATATTTTATTTTTCTTTGGCAATAATTAAAAACTAGAAAAATTAGCTTTTTCTTTGTGTTGGTTGCAAGACTGGCAAATAAATATTGTTTACATCGAGAAAATTAAAAAAGAAAAACATGTTCCTTTTCCCCGATAATGTAACAGGGGGAGGGGGGAAATCTTTCTAATTAATTTTGAAGAGCCCAAGCTGCTTCTTAGATTTCATTAACAGTTTAAGGCCCAGATACATTATTAAGTTTTTTTACGAAATGAAGTATAAGAGAAATATTGTTAGAGACACGACTTGGTATTGAATTTTAATTGCAGAAATATGGGAAATGGTACTGTTCACAACTTTGTGCAAGAACAAATGATTCTGATCATCTCTTACTGCTTAAATGTAGCCATAAAATTTAGCAGGGAACGTTATTATTGAGTGTAGTAGAGAGAAATACTGTTGAAAACATAGCATTCCTAGCTAAATTCAGAAAATTACAAGGCAAGAATAAAAGAACTGTAGTAGTTCTTCAGATGGGAGCCTTTGAAGGCAAGCTAGGTTTGAATTGTGGAAAATTGGACCAAGAGTTGTCAGAATAATTTCTGTTTATTTTTACATTTCAACTTACCTGATCTTCAGTGCTGTAAGTGGCAGGTCAATTTTTTGGCACTGTTTAAAGGCAGCATTAAAACAGTGGTGTTGTAATGGTCAGTCTCTCTGATCTGTTCAGTCATCTCATTTGTAGTGACTTGAGTACGCAAAGTTTTGAATCTGTATTCCTAGCAGTCCTGGTTAGGAGAAGGCTATTTGTGAACTGTTGTATAAAGATTAAGTAAATTAAAACGTGAAATTTTTGGAAATGAGAAGTGATTTCAGACTCCCCCAAAGTCACAAACTATGATGTTATCTTGCATGTTTTGGTTACTTCACAGTCCCAGCACAATAATTGAATAAAAAATTCAGTCAGTCCAGTTGGTTGCGCATCATGGGGGTTTTTTTGTTGTTGTTTGGTTACTTGCTTTTTGGCTGTGGGTTTCTTTTTTTAAGTTACTTTGCAGCTTCCTTCACTTCGTTGTTCAGGTCTACTTCACTGGAGATCCACAGTGACTTTGTGTTGGAAGTTTTTTGCATTCCTTAAAATCCATGTGAGATGTTATCACTGTTTCCTTTTACATATACATATCTGCCAATACTTTGCTAATTCTTAGTAGTCATGGGAACCATCCTAAAAGTGGAGCAATTTGCTTTCCTTCCTGTGGGTTTGACTCTTTTCAGCTTTAACTTTCATTTTTATTCAGAGTGGTGCCTCATAGTTTTGGAGTGCTATAGTGTATCTTCCTTAGTTGAGCATTAGAGAAAAAAAAATATAAAATTTAAGTAACTTTTTTCAGATGCTGTTGTATCAGTTAGCTTTGAAATTTGTAGCTTCCTGACTATACAAAACTAGGCAAACTAGGAAAATAATAATGAAAATTTTAGTAGTTTTGATCATCATACTCCAAACAAACTGCATATTAAAACTAGATTTTTTTTCATTCAGTAAAGATCCAGTGTTCTTATGCACATTCCCAGATCATATACTCTGTTGTGTTTGTTTTAAATTGACTGAAATCTGATGGTTTTGTCCAGTACCTTTTGTGTATTTTGTGGAGCATTTACGCAAATGTGTGGTCATTTCTATTAGGTGGTCAGGACCGGGAACTTCTCCAAAGGAAAAAAGAGAAATACAGGCAAGAACTAATAGAACAGATGGCTGAGCAACAGCGAAATAAGAGACGGTAATGGAAAGTTACAGTATTTTTAAAAGATAATGGCTGAAATTTAAAGGAATTTTATTAATTCAGTGTGGTAAGAATAATTTTCATAACTAAGGAATTCCAGCTAGCTAGGTAATATTGCATCCAGTTAAACTTGTTGGCATGAGAGCTTTAGTTTTTAATAAACAAATTCACCAGCTTTCAATGGAATAAAGGAAAAAACATTTTTTCATTAAAAAAAATTTATTTTTGCTTTCTTAAGGTTAAAGAAGCTTTAACTGAAGTTATCCCTCTTGCTGGTAGAGGATTGTCTAATTACTTTGCAAAGTTGAAAACGCATCTTGTTTTGCCCTGCAATTTAGGAAAGTGACCTCTCACTTTCAAAGCACTTGACCATCCGGCTTATGCAGAATAATAAAATATAAATTTCTTGCTTACCTATTAGTAGGTGCCTGCTGAATGATAGTATGGATACATAAAAACACACAGTGATATTAGTGAAGGGATAAGGAATTAGAAATAAGTTACTATTGATGGTTTCACTGCGATGAAAAATTGTACATGCTGACCAAGTCTCAGCCCTGAAATTACAATATAGTACTTATTGCTGTACTTTTGAATGATTCATTTCAATTTGTTTATTATAAACTTCTTGTTGTAATGTGAATAAAGATCAATTTTTAAGAAATGTCCTGAAAGATTGTAGTAAAAAGCAATGTAGTGCTTTGTCCTTTTATGGTAGTTGGAATTAGGTGGCCTAGAGGATAGCCAGATACTTCTTGAGAATTCTGTTTGTTTACAAATAATATAGTGCCCTTCTTTCTTGGCCCCAGAAGAAATCAAGTGAAATCACGTCTTCTGTTACCCTGTATTTTCAGAGTTATTTTAACTACAGGGTTGTGAGGTCTGTGCTTTGAAAGAATGAGTATAGTTGTTACCGCTCTCTGATTTTTTTTTTTTTTTTCTTTTTTCTTTTTTGAAACAAAAACAGTGAGAAGGAACTTGAGCTCTCAGTTGCTGCTTCTGGAGCTCAAGACCCAGAAAAGAAGGTAAGGAACTTGGACTTTCTTTCACCTATATAGACTTTTTTTATTACATGTACACTGTGGTTGCCCAGTCACAAAACTCTGTAGGGCTTTTACAGAATGATAAATGTTGTGTTTTTTTCTAATGGGCATTAGTATAGAATAAAATTGAAGCCAAGGATGATAAGGCTGTAACTCATTAGACGTGCTTTCAGCTTAAGAGGAGGATATTTTCATGGAAGTTATCAACCTTTTTTGATTGCTGTAACCAAGTGGAAATTTTGTACAAGCAGTGAGTATAATGGAAAAAATACTTAGTGTCCAGTGGTAGCCTGTACATGCATGCATTAGTAACTTTTCTTTGGGAATGCAAAGTATGCTACAGAAGTTTTTGCTCTTTGTCAGTTAAAAAAAAAATCCAGTTCTTTTGCAGCCAAGTTGATCTTATTGTAGCAATTTTTAATTTCCAATTTGTAATTCTTTTTTAACTATCAAATGTAGTGTTCAGCATTACAAGCATTTTTATAATGATTTTGTAAAAAGCCAGATATTTAACATTGTGTTGCTTGTAAGACTTAATGCAGAGTTACTACTGTCTCTACTTCCTTTCTAAGGTGATTATTGTACTAAGAATTTTGATTAGCATGTATGAAGGAGTAGATTGTCAGCACTAGTAACGTTGGTAGCAGACTGATTGTCGCAGAACAAGTATGATTTGCATGTGTGTTTGCTAAGTGCCCGAAGCCATTGTATCTTGGGTGCAGTAGAGATCTGCTGTTGGACATGTAGGATGGGTAACTTTCTCAAGCAAGAATAAACTGGTTATTAATTTAACCAGTTACCAGGGTGCTGTTTTTTGGGGGAGGCTACAACACAGAAAGAAACTTGTGCCATTTCTGGAGAGTTCAGCAGAGGTGAAAGGAGCTCTTATTTTTTAGAAAATGAAGATGAATGAATAGCTGTAAGATGCTATTAGTCAGCATGTGAGGCAGGAGACTGAGAATGCGTGTAGATAAGCAATGAAGCTGAATCAAAATTCTTACTCCTAAATGGGGAGGGAGAACACTGACAAGTGGTCTGGCTGCATGTTCCTACCTTCTCTGCTTAAAGTATCTGTGGTGCTTGTTTGATCCCTTCTGCGAACTGATTCAGCTTGGTTAGCTGGCAAAAATCTAAATCTTTTTTTGCTGCTTTAGTTGACTTGGAGAGGTCAGTTGGCTGATCAGGAATTCAGATGGTGAAAGGGAGAGGGATGGAGTGTACAGCTGGGAGCCAGGCAGGAAAAGAAGAAAACTGAGCAGAGGATGCCAGCTCTTTTGGCACAGCAGGGTGTAAGGTTGGTGTAAACAGTTTTGTCTAATCAAAGCTGACTAGGCAGAAGCATGCTGTGCTGCAGCACTCTATATACGCTATGCATCTCAGAGACTAAAAAGTGCCTGTTATAGGAACAAAATTATATCCAGAGCAAGTCTAGGGCACGTATAATGTTTTAAAACCGTTAATTTAGCTGAAAGCCTTCAATTAAGTAGAATTGCTATGTTCATTAAGCTTCAGTCACTGTTAGCTTTAAATTGCCTCCTGGGGAGGGATTCTAATTAGGTGGATTTCTTGATTAATTACAGGTTGGTTAAATAGCAATGCCTGATTAAGAATCTGTAAATGTAGACTGTTGTATATACTTCTTGTTTAAAATAACACAATCCCCAGGATGAACTGAGTACCATAGTCACATTTGAAATTAGCTACAGAGCTGAAATCTGGGGCACTTTGGAGCAGTTCACATTAAACTTGTTAGTAAGAAAGGCTGTTTTAAATGTTCTCCTGCTCAAGACACTGGATTTGAAAAGACAAGTTAAAAAAAAAAGTCTGTAGACTGCTTTATAATTTTCAATTGCTGTAGCTCATATCTATTATCTAATTTTGTATTCACATCTAGAAATTTGAAGTTAAATGTTATAAACAAATATGCATGTCTACTAGATTTTGAGAATTTTAATCTTAATGCTGTAGTTCATGATTGGTGAGTACTAACTGCCTTGTATATACTGTCTTGCAGCTAAGTGATGAGGAGGTAAACATTTAATATTTTGCTGAAATACTTCTATATTGTAGGGTATATGGTTTGCTGTTAGATATTTAATATTTAGCTGGTTGCTGGTATTACTTCGTCTGAATGCATGTTAACTGAAGCACTACAATGTTAGGACCAGTAAATTCAGAAACAAATTCTGTTTTACTGAGACAAAGTATGATTTTTTTTCTGGTCTTCTATTATATTGACTCATTTAAACAAACATTAAAATACTAACGCATAGCAGCTGGTGCAAGGGCTTTCTGGGTGTGGTAAGATAGTTCTGAAATGGACTTGCATGCCTTTGCGTTATTTGCATGTTGCCTTTGCCTTTGCCTTTCTTCTGAGGCTGCCAGTTATCAATAAACATTTGATACATTTATTTAAAAAAAAAAAACCCTAAAATTTTGTAGTTGTTGTGGTTGAAAAATTTAATAAAGAAACTTAAAAAAATTTTTTTGCAAGGAAATGTTTATTGGAAAAAGTCTCAGTATGTGGTTGGTTTTAGTTTTTACTGATTATGAGCTATTTTCATCTTGTGGCAGGGGGAGGGATTTCAGAAACTTTTCCTATGCATAATATGAGAATACTGTTTGTGTAGGAAACTGGCAGCTGTAGATAACCTGTACTACAGGCAACTGTGGAAACACTTCTTTTTTTTTCTGGACAATAACTAGAACCATATACTTCCTGAAACCTGCTGTAGAGGTTGGATTTTGTAAATCTGTAATAAATATGCTAGATTTCCTTGTAGTATTAGATTTCCAGTAATTCCTCAGGAGAAAAAAAATGCAATTACTAGAAATTTGAACAGCTAGTTGGGACCCATTCAAGTGTTTAATGAGACCTAAATGAAGGTTCAGAATATTTCCTAGTAATAACAAGGTAACTGTTTTCACTTTTTTCCTCTCTCTTTTTCTATTTTTTTCTTCAGCCAAATAGATTGAAGCAGTTTGGCTTGACAGCACGAGCTGCTGAAGAGAAAGTACCTCCTGAAAGGCCTAGGGTGGCTTTCCAAACTCCAGTGCCCGTCCCTCCAGCATCTCCAGTGAATGAAGACTTTCACAGGGGGCTAGCCAGCACTCTTGGTGAAATAGCAGCTCCTAGGTGCTTCACCGTCATGTTAATTTTGCATATTAAATAAGATTGTTGTTAAGCCTGTTATTACTGCTAAGGTAGAGCTCAGTGGTGCTATCAATCCTTCTCCAAGGAACCAGTGAAGGTAGAAATAATATTTTGACAATTAACAGAAAACTAAACTACTTTGCACTGAAATAAACTTTTACTGTCTATTTCTTCACAGTTTTTTTTTTTAAAAATCTGGGAAGGCTGGGTTATCTATGAAGACAGCTCTTTCTTAGAGGATGTTTGTGCAGGATAAGGGTTGTGCTGTAGGAATGATGTCCGTGCCTGTAATATTGAACCTTGTTGCGAGGATGCTTGGGGCATATGCCCAGCAATGTCCATATTGTTAGAAGGCTGGTATAGTATGAGTTTGGCCCCTATCAATTAAGCCATGTCTCAGGGCTAAGCTCAAGAATACAGTGTAGGCAAGGACAGCTTCCACTAAACTGTGAGACTAATCTGTTTAGGGAGAGAGAAGGAGCTTCAGGCATGTGGCTGAAGCTGTGCTGTGCCACTTGCCCTTTGACCAGAGACTAATCCTTGGCTTGTGTTATTTACTGTTACTGATGTAACCAGTAAGTATCATTAACTGAACAAGTTAAAGAAGGTGTGCTTGGTTTGTGTTCTTTAAATCTCTGGAATAGTGTGGGTTCATGTACTACTCCCTAAGGGAAGGTTAATTCCCTACTGAGACTTACTGTATCTTGTTCCTGCATGGCACTGATAGGTCTTGGGCTGAATAAATCTGGATTTTTCCATGTAGTGAATTTTTTTTCTTTTGGTGGTTTTTTTTTCCTTTTGGTGTTTTTCTTTCTTTTGGTGATTTTTTTTTTCTTTCTTTTGGTGATTTTTTTTTTTCTTTCTTTTGGTGATCTCTTTTCAGTTGTACAACAAACCAAAAAATTGTGTTGCTTTTTTCCTTAAGGCTTGCACCGATGCCACCGCCTCCACCACCAATTTTGACAGACAATTATAGAACACCTTATGATGACGCATATTACTTTTACGGGGTTAGGAATCCTTTGGATCCCAATCTTGCATATTGTAAGTTGATGATTTTAGGTGGATTGGTTGATAGAGTGATTCAGATGATTGCTTTTAATCTAGTTAAATGATGAATAATGTAGAACTAGTAACAGTAATTTAAACCCATTGCTTAGATGTATATTGAATGAAGAGTAGGCTTTTTTCCAATACTGGTTTTGGGTGAAGTAGTTTTCTCCAACTGCAAAAGGGGCTATGGCTTCCAGAAGTCTTGTTCATTGCTTGAACAAGCTCTAGTCTCAGCTACTTAGCCATTACTCCTCCCAGATAATTTTCTTTATGGTTTTGATAATCAAAACATTATTTTCTAAAATTGCTTAAATCATATTATAATTGATTACATGTTTAGGTGTTGTTACAATTTCAAATATAATTTTAAATATTTTTAAAGGATCTGTATGAAGTAATCAAACTTTTTTGTTTTACTAACTTTTATTTCTACTCTTTGACTGCTTCGTGATGATTTCATGAGTGAAACAACTGTGATGTGTGTGGTGAGGGACTGGATTGTGTGGTGTTTGTTTTTTTCTTTTTTTGCTTTTTTAGAGGAAAAAACAGAAATACTTTAAAAAAGTTGTTGTGCTACCTTTATAGAAAAGTTAAAATAAAGGAGAAAAAAATCTTTACAATAATAACTCTTTTACTGGTTGGTTGAATGAGATTTGTATCCACTGTGGAATTTCAGGAACACTAGAGATTTAAGAGCAAAAGTTTTTAGTTTCCTTTTTTTTTTTTTTCTCCAGTGTAAATTTCTCCCCATCTTGAAATGTAATAGCTTATGGTTTGAGAAAGGTTGTTTTTAGTTGTTTTTTTAATTTATTTTTTAATCTTTTATTTTTATTTTATTTTATTTTATTTAAGTTCCAGGCACCTTTTTTACCTTTTCTTTGTAAGCTTATTTTCAGAGCACAGTTTCAACTCACAGAAGTTTGGGGGTTTCTGGGGGGGTTGTTTGGTGGGGGGGGTGGGTTGTGTTTTATTTTGGTGTTACATTTTTTTTTTTCTTTTTTTTTTTTTTTTACCCTTTTATCAATATAACCTGTAGGGTAAAGTGGCTTACAGTTTAGAGTATTAAAGAAACTAATACTTAAAATTCACATATGAGAGTTGTGACAACAAGCTTTAAGACAACGTAAGTTGGAATATTGCTAGTGCTTAAAATTTGAAAGTGTGAAATTGTTTTAGAGATGCATCTCTTACTGTCTTGAACACAAGCAGTAGTATGCACAGTAATTTTAAGCCCTGCTGTGGCAGAGTGCTGCAGGTCCTATTTCAGTAAGAGTACAGATGCCAAATACACTGCATTTCTGCAGGAGGCAATGGGGCTCTCCTCACAATAGAGGATGCATTTGGAAAGCATGAGGACAAGTGTTACATTAAGCGAGTTATTTCTTTTTGTTAGTTCATTGTGGAATATGTTAATGAAGACATTTGTAAATTTTAAAGGGATTTAGTTGAATTTAAGAAATCAGTTTGAACTTTGGCATTGTGTTTCTTGCTTTAGAGGGCATTAAGGATTAGCTAAGTTTGTTATAGAAGTTGAGAGTCCTGTTTGTAATTCAGCAGTCACAGAGTTTGAGCAGTGAGTTCTGTTCTTTTAAGTAGCGGTAAATGTTTATATCTGAGCATTCAAAATTTAAAATAGTAATTTTTTTTACTGTATAGATGGTACAGGTATGGTGGGAGTGCAACCCACACCTAACCTGGATCCTCCTTTAGGCCAAGACCCAGTAGAGAAATCTGTGTAAGTATTAGCTATATTTGTATTCTTTGTTTTTATCTGTATTGATGCACTTTTCATGTTGGGAGTATTTTGCTAAAAATGGATATGCCTTTGAAATAATGTGTGTTAGACAACTCTTCAAACTTCTAATTAAGAATTTCTATCTAAACAATAATTCAGTGAACTCCTATTTTTATATGGATTTATGAAAATGTTTGAGATTATAAACTGTCAGGCTGTGGAAAACAACAGCTCTTAAATATTTCAGGCAGGGATTTTATTTTTATTTTATTTTTTTTAAACCCCTCTGGACCCTACGATGTTTTCCTTTTATATGTGTGGTTTTTTAATTCAGAAGTAACATTGGACAGAGGAATACAGGAGACAGACAAAGAAGCATAGGAGTATTTTCTGAAGAAAAAATAAAGCCTTCCAAAGAGGCAACATTGTCTTATCAACAAGAATTACAACAGCAGGTACTGAGTGATAAAGCTTCTGATGGTTTCTTTTTTTACTTTTTAATATATTATGGTTGTAACTGTAGTACTCTTTCAAAGATGTTTCTTTAGTTTACAAGTAAAAAGCTTTCTTAACTCTCCCTCTCTTCATCACTTCCTTCCTCCCATTCCTCTGACCCTGCTTTAGCTTATTTTAGCTCTTCAGGTGGACAGTAAGCTCTTCAATTTTTTGTCAGAGGCAGAGCCTCTGACACCAAACAGATTAGTTCCAGGCATGGAGTTTCACATAATTATTTTCATAAACATAAGAACCTGCATCTTAAAAGCAATGAGTTCTATTGCTTTGATATTCCTATTGAAAGATTGCTTTTGAACATTATTGCTATAATAATTAGGAACACTCTAATTTCAGTAAGTTCTTCATGATCGTTTGGATACTAATTCAAAAGCTTCCCTAATGTTTACTTCCAGTGTGTTTGTAGGTGGTGTCTTATCTCTTTTCAGCTTCCTTTTTGATAGACTTTTGATAGACTAGACAAATTTCTTGAGTCTCCTGTCTTCCAGTAGACGTCCTAGTCCCCTATTCATTTTAGTGGCCTTTTGCTGCTGCACCTTGTGGGCATTTATATTTATAAAATGTACTTGACTGTGATAAGATATGTTATTTCACAAGAGATTTTGCTAGAACCTAGTTCAGTGGCACTAACATTTTCTTACCTTATTCTTCTTTATGTATTTCTTCAGTGGAGGTAAATAATTGCTATAAAAATAGTCTAGTTCTAATTATGATTGTGCATAAAGGAGAGGCTGCCAATCAAGGTCAAATTAAGAATAAAATAAACATTTAGGAATAGTGTCTGATATTGCACTTACACTTCTCTGAAGGCATTTTCTCACTATAGTCTTAAGTATAAATTTTATCTTGCCAGGTGAGAGACTGCACAATTTGACGTAAAGGTCTAATGAATGTGGCATGATACAGTGTTTCAAAGTTGTTATGCTGCTTATGGTTGAAAGTAAACGGAAAGTATTCTGCTTTTTTTTCCTGTAGACAAACCTGACTGTGACCATTTTTGTAAACAGTCAAAGGGGCTAGATGGGTCTTTGTGCTGACTCATTATATCTCTTAAGAATTGTCTGACTACTTGATAAAGGGAAATTTTTATCTAATGCACAGAAGAAACAAACTTAAGAAAAATAGTTTAATACGTTTAAGCTACATAAATGGTAGCTAATGTTTTAAAAGATTTGAATAGAAGATGGGATTTTTTAAATAGCTGTTCTCTTTATAAATGCTACATTAAGTTATTAGGAGATTTAGTTATATAAATTTAACCTGATTTTGAAGAAAAGGAAGAACAAACCATATGAACAGTTCTGCATTATTTACATACATCGTCATGTATTACTGCAGAAAACTATTTCATGAATGGTTACAGAATTGTGTAGCATTCTATTAAGGCATTTATTGTTAGGAGTCTTTCTTTATCTCATGTCATCTCTAGTCTAAGTTTTGGTTAAACAAAATGTACCCGATTGAGAGAAGCAAGTGCTATAATATTGTAGAATTTTGCCTGTTTAATTTCCAGGCAGTATAACATTCTGTATCAAAGACCAAAGTTATGGGACTTTTGATGTACTGCAAGTGTTGGATGTGAACATTTCTGGAACTTGGAAGTCTTATAATGTGAATCTGTATGTTTCTCTGTGATTATGTACAACTGGACATGCACATTTTGACAACAGTATTCAATGCGCTGTCTGCAGTATAGGAAGTGAAATGTTTGCAATTTGCTTGATGTAGAGGGGGGGAATGGGTAATGATAGCATTCAGCTTGCTCCGTTAACTTTTTATTAAAATTATACTTAATGAGATATTTTCATGCAACTGGCTTGGTTTTTTAGATAAGAGAGAGAGAGGAACGGCGCAGACAAGAGAGAGAGGAGAAGGAACGCTATGAAGCCAAGTTAGAAGCAGAAATGAGGAATTACAATCCCTGGGGAAAAGGTGGTGGTGGTGCTCCTCTCAGAGATGCAAAAGGAAATCTGATAAGTATGTTTGCCAAAATTATGGGTTGTCTTTTCAAGATTGATGTTTTCTTGCTCTCGTACGGGCTCTATTCAGATGTTATTCCTTGTTTTGTAACACTGGTAGCCCTTTATTGACAAATAGATATACTTGTTTCAAGCAGATGTACTCAAGGAATATTTAAGTGAGTAATTTTGATTTCTGTAGAATCATTCAAAGAGTACAATTTGAACAAAATGAGAAACGCAGGATGTGTCAACTATAAATGAAGACACAACATGGTAACAAAGGGAGAAGGAGGAAAACAAGCTGTTAGAATCATCTTCAATACAGTTGTGCTAAAGTCTGTTGTGAAGACTTTTATTTAAACATTTTCCAGGAACAGGTTTTTTTAATTGTTTTTCTTTTTTAAAATAACTTCTAGGCTTAGAAATCTCTACTTGTGACATGGAAAATGGAAGCATGTTTGAATTTATATATATAAAGCTAAGTGGAATATTTAAATTTCCCCAAGTAACACTGCTTGTAAATGGCTATATAAATAGCAGTCAGCAGTAATGTTTTTTAAGGTTTATTTTTTTCTAAGTGCTGTTTTATACAAGATGGGAGTAGTGAGCATGGAGATAGCTATGATCCGGGCAAGTTGTTCATCCACCCCTGCAGTAAATCGGAGATAGATGTAAGGTTAAAACTCAAATTCCTGATCCTTGTTCCTAGTGAACCCTGCAGGAGTAGTTTATCTAAAATAAAAACAGTACTCACTAGGCACAATTAGATTTGTATATTTCAAAATCTTGACCTGTGCAAGCTCTCTTCATTCTTGCGCATCTGAGTGAGTGAGTCTTACAATTTTATAATTACTGATTTCTAATGTAAAACAAATTTATTTTCTTGTTATTGGAAGATGATGTTGAATTCTGATTAGCTTTTAAAAATATGTCTCCCGGTAATAAAATATGAGAATTTTCAAAGCATGGAACAGTTACTGGATAACATTTTTTATATAAATAATCAGTTTCAATTTTATGATACCTGAGTGACATATGGCTAAATTCATAGTGTAGTTTGAAGGTAGGGAGTAAAGTCTAAATGCTTTTTAAAGGTTGTGGGCCCAAATAATAAGTTTAGAAGCTTGTGTTGAGGATCCAAGCTTGTGTTTATCCCCAGAGCAGATAGAGGTGTTCACACTGCCTAACTTTAGGCACTGCATTTAAGTGTCTGGCTTCTTTCTCTAGGATTTACAATGGTGAGAGTAGAGTAGGTCAGAGGAAAATGTAGGTGTGTTGTATTAGCCTGAGCTCTGCATATACCTGCTGAGAAGCTTATCTCCTGCTCAGAAGCTTATCTCTGTAAATGAGGAACCACGTGAAAGAAGTTCCTTAGCTTGTTTTCCTGAATTACACATGTAAAGTTATTTTTCCCACCATAGTTTAGCAGCATGAGGGATAAGTTATGAGTCAAATGTCATGAAACATAACATGCTTTCTGCCATGCCTCTTTTTTATGCAGTGTGACTTGTCTTTTCATCCTCCTGAAAAAGTCTGTAAATAGCTTTTGACACTCTGATGTATGGCAAAGGCAGCTTTACAGAGAGGGATGTAATTTAAAGTTCTTGGAATCTATGGGCTTAAATGACTACAGTTATTCATAATTATCAGAAACTATTCTAAAAGATAATCTGAAAACTGTGTAGTACTTTTTTGTTTTGAAACTAGCTTTCTAGGTATAGTTTGGTAACACTTCAAAATGAGCTGAAATTAACACTGATCAGGATTTTTATGGTAACTGAGAGGCACCATGTAAATTTTGGTGAAAACGTTGAATGACATTGTTTGGTTTACATACAGAAATCTGCACCTGGATTATTACTAAAGACATGAAGACCAAAATACACTTTAATGGTTCAGTTGTGCTTATCGCCCTTAATGGTAATCAAATAGAGATTCAGTATTTAAAATACCAAAACTAAACTCAAAAGTATTTTACAGCTTTAAGGAAATAGAAGAAGGGGTGGTTTCTAAATACATGCTTGTCAACACAGACTTGTCAGTCATTTTTGTCTTTGAGCTCTTTATCTTTCCATTCTATAGCATTTTTGGGTGGGGAAGAGGGGAGGTTTGCTGTGAAGAATCATTCCTGACAAAAGAAAACCCACAAAGTAAATCTTTTAATCAGTGAATTCCTAATGACTAGTATTTCACCTATAGGTCCTGTATTCTTGTCCTATATTTTTTGTTCCCATAATTAGTATGCCCAGTAAAAGTGGACTCTGCTCAAAAATCCCTGTATTTTTGAGAATCTATGGTGAACGTGCCTTTTATGAGAATAAAATATTATAAATAAACAGTTATTTCCCCTTTCCTTTAGCGGACTTGAATATGATGCACAAGCAAAACGAAGATGCATATCATAATCCAGAGGCAAGACTATATGAAGATAAAAGGGCTATTGTATCTGTTGACCTAAGTTTGGCTTCCCCAAGACCTGAGAACACAGAAGCATCTACAAATAAAATAGCAGGTTTTTAAGAATACTGTATTACAGCTCTAATTATTTATAGGTCTTAGTGATCAAAATTCTCTAGTTTCTTTACTCCTTTCTAGTAGTCCTATGATAGTGTTAGTGCTCTCTACCTGTGAAGTCAGTATCATGCTTCTTTCCCAAACTTCTTCACTGCTGTCACTGTGTGTACTGAAAATGTATGTTCTTATCTGTCTTGTCAGTAGTGATAACTAGTAACTGTTTTAGCACTGAACAATCAGGATCAGTATATTAGTTTTCTGGGTTCAGTCTTATCTAATCAAATCTTCATACATATTTGTTTTGCTTTTAAATGACACAGTAAAATACAACTGTATAGTAGGAGAGAAGGTGGAATAAAAGGAGGAGGAGGGTCTGCAGATGTATCACGTTACAGGTTAAGATGAAATTGGTACAATAACTAGGTTAACAAATTCTAAAAAGTTACAAGTAAATTGGGTACGTATGCAGCCCTGTGCACTGCCTCCAGGTTTTAGGGATTTTATTTTATTTTCCTATTTAAAAACTAATGGATCTTTCTCTTCTTACGTTTTGTGAGACATCTGAATGAGAGAGCTGTGGTACTCCAGACCTGCCCCTAGTCTGGGATGGGCAAAGGCCAGGATCACTGGCGGTCTCCTCAACTCAGCTTAGATGCCGCTTTTCTTTCTCATGTCTGAACTGTTGCACTTCTGTATAAAGAATTACATGGTATTTGGGGCATGGATCTACTTCACGCAATTGCAATTCAGTGTCCTGGCCACTGGCTGTAGAATAATTTGTTGTTGTTGTTGTTCCTTCTGTCCCCCCTCTTGCTCTTTATCCCTAGTACAGTGTATATTTAAGCATTTAGTAAGAAGTGAAACAGGCAAGGCCAATGAAGTAATGCACAACAGCAAACTGCCCCCTGGTTAGATCACTTACTTTGGTATCAGGACATGGTGCAGATCAGTGATGGGAACTTTTATAGTCTTGCACGTTCCATTTGATTAGTCAGGCAGTAAAGTGGCTTTGTGTAGGTTTTGGTGGTTCTGTTCTTTTGGTTTTTGTTTTGTTTGTTTGTGCGTTCTTTTTTTTATACCACCCCATTAAAAGAGGAACTTGCAGGATAGTAGTCGGCACACAGTAAGTTCATTCCTTGATACATTCCACAGTAACTTTCTGTCTCGTGTCCATGCCTTTCAAATGGTATATAAACCTAATTCTGTTTTTTTTGCATGGAATATATCTGTATGAAGTAAATCCATCCTGAAAGAGCCACATGTAAATTTAGTTATATTTTGGAAGCATTCAAACAGTGACTCCATGTAAGGAAAAATAACACTAACCTCAAAGTGTACTCCTTGGTATGCAAGCACATGCTTCTAAGGCTAGGCTGTAGCAGTAAGCACATGCATTCCTATGGGAATAAGTGTATGTGTTATTTCTATTTTCATCTGACTTAGGTGGTACAGCACCATGTAGGAAAATGTAAGGGGGGGACATGAGAACAGCTACAGCTGTGTTCATCTCAGTTCAGTGGAGCTATTGCTCTTGTACATCCTTGAGGCACTGTCCTTTGGAGCAGACGTGATATGAATGAAGAACATGCTGTGTCAGCTGAAAAGTTAACACAACTTACTCTAGTTTTGCTTTACTTCCTTCCTCCTCTGCTTCCTGTAGGGATCCTGTTCTGCAAAACCTGTTCTGTGTGGTATCTGAGTTAATCCTCCTATCTAGAGCTTTTGGGACTGTATGGTTATGATGCATTCCTAATTCAGGGCTAAAGGAGACCTGATGCTTCAAACTTCATAGTATGGAAGGCATCTTATACTGGCAGAATTCAATTTTTCTGACTGCTTAGAATTTTATTTGCCAGTTTTGAGCTTTGTTTTTTGTAGCATCCATTGCTATTTTACCTAAATATTTGTTCTGTTAGGATGTTCTGGTTTTAAAGAGTGAGGAAACCTAAAGAACAGAACTACATGTGCTAAGCCAGAGTAATTGCAAGCAGTAAAGTTATGAGATGTAAAATCATTGCTATTCTAATTAACTTACAGATAACATTTTTAGATACTAAACTGTAGATTGGACAGTAGAATATATGACTTTTATAGGCGTTACTTTGTAAAAAAACAACTTGCTTGGACATTATTTGTTGAGCAGTTAAAACCTGATGGTGTTCTAGGCAGACAACATAAGAACTTTTAATCCCAGCTATTGCTTTCAGCAGTAGCCTTGAATTATGGCTGTCATAAACTACCTTTTGAAACAAGTATCTCAGATTCCTGCTTCTTCACTCTGGCTTTCTGTCTTAAATTTGCTTTGATTTTTATCTTTACCCCCCCACCCTGCTGCCCCTTTAGGTTTTACATTTGCACAGACCTCTCCTTTTGCTCGAGGTAATGTGTTCGGTGAACCACCATCTCCACAGCATCTTAAGCGACAGGAGTCATACAAGAACTTTCTTCGTCTACAGGTGAATACGCACACCAGTTATTGTCTAGTTAAATAAACTTTAAAAAGAGAGATTACAGTCAAAGTAAATCATCAGATACTGCTGACCAAAGACCTTATCCAATCATAGCCAATTCTGTATACAAGAGGTATACTAAGAGCTCTTGAGTCTCTCAGATTTTGCCTTATGTAAGAAATGCCTATAAAAGTGATGCTATTAATAGTTGGCTTCATTAATCTAGATTCTGTCTTTTTTTTCCTAAGTACAGCTCTCTAAATACAGTATTGAGTTCTAAAACTGTGCATACAGTACAAGTTTGCATACATAAATATGTGAAGAAACAAAGATGTTTGCCCTTGGATGTCTATGTGTTACAAATGCATGTTCATCAGAATGAAATGGTGATCAGTGAGACAATAATAGTGTAGTTATTTATTGATGGGTATATAAAACGTGATTGTTCTTCTACCAGCTTCTGGCTTCTGTCCATAATACTTCGCATATAATCTTATGCCACAACAGTTAAGTATCAATTTAATTAAATATCAATATCAAGGAAATCCTAGATAACTTAAAAGAGTACAAATGTCATGCAGTGGTTTGATATAGATCTCTTAAAAAGAAAAGATGAAGTTTTTTTTTCCATGTATAGTGCTGCCAAAAAGAATAAAGAATGGGCAGACCTTTGGCTTCAGTAAGTCAGCACTGTGTCTAAAAATATTATAATTGTGGAAAGGAAAAAGATAATTGCTATGTCTTTTTTGTTTTGGTTTCCCATCTTCCATTATTTAATCAGTGACGAAAAATGTAATTCTGGCTCATCCGGAGTAGAGTAAGTGTTAGGAAATATTCAGGTTTTATTAGCAGCATTTATAATTAGTGTTCTTACTGGAGGGTGGCTCAGTAAATAGTGGCCAAGAAGAAATAGTAAAATATCATCTGATTTTAAAGGAATTCTGAAGCTGAAATGTAAGACTGGCCCTAGAATTCTTTCAGTTGCTCCATACAATCTTTGATTGTGCAGGTAGGTACTGCAAAAGTCCGTAGAAGATCATGGTGGTAAATTTTCATCAGATTATTGCTGGCTATTGACAGGTCAATACTTCTTTGCTTTATTTTCCAGATTGAAGAAAAGAGACGTAGGGAAGAAGCAGAGCGAGAAAAACTTAGAATGGAAGAAGAAAAAGAAGAAAAACGACTAGCTGAACAGAGGATGAGAATTCAAAAAGCATATGAAGATGAACAAGAAGAGAAAAGAAAGAAAGAGGAGGAGGTGTAGTATTTTGATACCTTGACTTTTTTTTCCATCCTAAAGTAACCCTTTGTAATATTTGTCCTCTAGATTAAGAAGGTAAACTGAGAAGTGTTCTGTGAATTGGTCTTTTGTTTTTAAAAGGGTCTACATTAGCCAGAGGACAGGTAGAAAATTGTATTAACTAGCACATGCTTCTAACTCTTTATGGTATGCTACTACTTGAAGTACTGTTAACTCTTTTAAGAAAATTTGTATCTTTTTATAATTGACAGTGGTGCTCTCCTTTTAAAAAAAATTGTGAGACCAATAAAAAGCTTTGTCACATTGGTGAATTTAAAAACAAAACTTTTTTTTTTTGTTAGCCTCTTAAATCTAGCTCATGGAATTATTTGTATTCTGGATGTAGCTATACAGGAAGATTTCGTAAAGCCTTTTTTTTAATTGGTCAGGATTTGTCTTTGAGATAAGAACTGCTTGTTTTGAAAGAATTCCAAGCAAATCTAATGAATACTTTTCATGGAGGTAAACTTGTGATTTAATTCTAACCCAAAAGCTTTATTTATCAGGTTTGGAAAATTGAATGAAATTGCATAACTCAGAATATCTTAAATAATTGTAGGAAAAGGACACAAGGCCATCAGAGATGGAAAAACCTTTCAGTACCCTGCAGGACTATGAAAGATCAGTTCAGGATGTAGGACTTGAAGATTTCTAAGACAGAACACTTGGCTTATATTCTAGATTCTCTTCTCAAGTATGAGCAAGTTAGCTGGATGAGTCCTGTCTTCTCGCTAATAGAACTGGTCTAGTATAGAGTAGGAAGCTAACTGGTATCATCGCTTTTCACAGACACAAGACTAAGATTGAGACTGGATGATAATTTTCTCAGTGTGCTTCTGATAGGTGGTGCATGTGTGTATGTTTTCTTTGAATCTGAATTTTTGGAAATGACTCCTACAGTTTAGCCGTAACTGGCAGCAGATCTGGGGACACAAACTGGTGTTTACTGAAGTTATTAGGAATTCTGTTAAATGATTTAAATGATGTTAGCAGAGCCAGGACTGCAGATGTTTAATATTTGCATGGCATAGTTTTTAATTTGAATGTTTGAAGTTAGCCTAATGAAATACGCTTTTCATTTCATACTAATCACTTTGATGTGTAATTTTAACTTCTCGAAGAAAAACAAAGCAAAACTTTAATAATGTCGAGTCTTTTTTGTGTACTAATAATGTTTATGTTACAGCGAAGATTAAAAAATAAAGAAATAATTCGATTAGATGAAGAGAGGCAAAAAGAGGCAGAAAAAAGAAGAAAAGAAAATGAAGAAAAGCAAAACGAACAACTTAGACAATATTTTGAGAAAGAAAGATGGAAGAGGAAAAGAAGATGGTATGCTTCAGTGACTTTCTAAGATACAAATACTTCTTCCTAACTTTTACAAATAACTGAGTTTTAAAGAAATTGCATGATTTCTTAGACCTCTACCTTTAGTGTTGTTCACCTCTTAGTTTATCAAGCTATGGTACACTTAGTGGACACACAGAGAACAGCTGATTGAAAAATCAGATATACTACAGTGGAAACTTATCTTGCTGATCAAATTTGTGTTAAAAAAAATAGTAAAAACAAGTAAGAGCAAGCTGCACTCTATAGTTGATTTTTATATCTGCTGTGAAGTACCATGGCCTGCTTTTCCTGAGGTCCAAATACAAATAAAAATAAGCTTATATAATTTAGAGGACTGGAGGACTGTTCATCTTTAACAACGGTGTTCTTTGTAATTTAATTATTTTCTTTTGACCTGGAATGATGTAAGCAGTCCATCAGATAGAATTCTGATGGAGAAAATCTAAGTAAATTATAGAACTCTTTCTCTTCTAGAAATGTCTACATCTCGCTCCTCTAAAATGGACAAGATGCCATGGAAGTGTCTAGAGGAAAAAAAAAAGATATGTAACTTGAGCATAAATTTTAAAAACTACATAGAAAAAAGATATTAAAATTACTATAGGTAGAAAATAAAATCACATGAAGTAATTTTGGCAGTAATTTTATGCAGTTGAAAGCAAATTAAATACAAGAATAATTCAAATAAGATAAGCAAAAGCATTTTTCTGTCAAATGAAAAATATTAGCCAAGCTCTTTCTGTCCAAAATAATACTTTATTCAGAATCTATAGGAACATAGTTTCAGTCTTGCTTTCCTCCTCGCAGTTTTCAAGGCAGCCTTCTCCCATCATTCCTGCTCTTCAGAACAAATCAATAAGAAAAGAAGAAAGGATTCCCTCTTCTGAGAGCCATATGTCTTACTATACACAAGTATGATTTTTATAGTCAACATTTACTGATTTATTTAAGACAGTGCAGTGTATGAAATCCTACCAGGTTTTTAATGTTTGCCAGTTATTACTGGGATACCACAAATAACAGGAGACAGTCTTTATGTTAGCCAGTCTTACAGCTCTGAGATTTATTGTTCAATTTTATTCAAAGTATTGAAATTGTGTGTGGGGTGTGTATTTTAATTTTTTTCTGCATGTATATTTTCTGTAGAGATAAGCACCTCATTTTTGAGTGTAGATACTCTGTCCAGCTTACCAAGGTCTAGCGATCTCAAGGTTTAGGATAAGAAAGTTTACATCTAATATAACAACTCATTGTGTTCACTCAGAGAAGAACTTTGCTCAGGCATGAAGTTTAATGTTGATTCCTAGCTACAGACATTATTGTTTTATCTTAATGTTTTTGAAGCTACAAAAAGTGTATAACTCCTAATACACTTCACTTTCTTCTTTGCATCACGAATGAGTTACAGTAGTGGTCCCGAGACCACTCATTTCCATTTGATTTACTCTTCCCTGGGACAATTTTTTTTTTTAAATAAATTTGTCCTGTGAAGAGTAGATTAAATAATCATCTATGATATTTGAATCTCTGGCTACACTTCTGACTTTTTGTTAGAAATGTTTTTTTACCAACTGTCTGTGTGAACTGGGCTAAAAATTTAAAAAATGAATTTGCCATGAAAATGATAATTTGGCAAAATATAGTGCAGTTTCAGAAAATGTTTTAAGTAAGACTTTAAACCTTATTTAAAACTATTGCTTTCCTTAAATGTAAAGCATACTCTGGAGGAAGGTCAGTTTATTTCTGTGTCTTTGCAGTACTTGGTATAGCTTTGTCTTGATCTCTGAATAGTGTGTTATAGGTATTATTTTAGTAATTTGGATTATGCATTTAAAGGTCAGATTTAAAAACCCTTAGGCATTAATAACCTCTAAGGTTGCTAATCTGTCTTCCAGTAGTAGTGGTAGTTAACATAAATTGGACATAAAATAAGGAAATAAAATGTACTTATGTCTGCTATATTTTCTTTCTTTGACATATTAACATTTCATATCCATTATGATTACTAGGATCCTCCGCAACCAAGGGTTCCTTCTCCACCTGTCCCTGCTAGAAGAAATCAGTTACGTGCATTTGGTAGGTATCGTTTTTGCTGCAAGCTTGCTTTCTATTACAACGAAATTGTTCTCAGTTACGGTTCTCTTTCTTGCCTGCAAAGGAATAGTCTTACAAAGTTTGCATTTCTATGTGGGTGCTCTCTCTGTCTTAATATTATCAGTGTATTAGTATGGTATGTCTGAAGTATTAATACAAAAGAAAAATGCATTTATTATGTGTCTTCATCAGGAAATATTTTTTTCTAAAAACTCTGATAATGGAATAGTCTGCATGGGAAGTGCTGGATCTTTCAGTCAGGGCACTGGTGACCACTGTGACCAGAACACTGCAAAATGGGAGAGTTTTGTATTGGCTGAGTAATGGATTAGACCAACAATGTGTAGTGAGCACTGCAGTCCTAACTCTAAAATTCTACTTTCCTTTGTTATTCTGCCTAATCCTCTGCTTCTTCCTCTTAGATTTCACTGGTGGTTTTAAAATTCAGACATGCTGGGAGGATCTCCTTTGCTCTTTATATATTGGTTATCTTGGCAATATGTGGGTGGAAAGCACTATTTTTTCTGATTCTTTTTTACACGTATAAAAGAAACAACACATGGGATGTAACAGTAAATGATGTCCTACAAATGCTAAACTCCAGCAGTCAGTACCTGGGTCCATTCTGGGGAGTTACGGCTCTTCCACTAAATGGAAGGCAGAGTGGTTCTTAATGCAGCTCTTGGAAATCGATTGACTCAGAAAGACATGAACTACATCTTCTGTTTGAGTATTTAAGCAAGTAAAACATCCTTGCCTGCTAGGTTCTGGACTCAGACTAAAAGTCAGTAAAATACCAAATTATTAAGTGTGTTATTTGGAAAATAAGGAATTTATGAAACTGTTTTAACTTGTGGAGGAATGTTGTCCTGAGCACAAAAAAACAGCTTAGACCCAAAGTAGGTCTAAAAAGTCAACATAAGCACGTACTAAAAATAAGTGTTAAAGTTGGAACTCTTGAACACTTAAGAGAGTGCACTGAGCAGACAGCCTACTTTTGAGTCGGGAAACGAAATGAGGTCGTGTGCTTGCTGATGCCACCTCAGTTCTTGTCATCTGCCTCTGGGACTCTGAGGACTGTGTAGATTTGCTAATTTCAGAAAAAGGCTATTTACTGGCAACGTCCACTTGCTGGTGTTTCACAGCTTTTCCTTTTTTAAATACAGCGAAACACTTTAATTGAAGTTTGGATGCTTTCTGCTGTTCAGGGGGTCTGGTCCTTGTGCTGTCTCAAAATACAAGCTCTGGCCTAATTTCTAGTGTATAAAATGCTGCAATTCTTGTGTTTGTATCATCCTTGTTTTAATTAACAGTTCATTATCTCTTTTTTTTTTTTTCACCTTACATTTATGAGGTAGGCAGAAAAGTGTCTTTGACACTCTTTATTTTTAAATTATTTGTGTTAAACTACAGAGGAAAGAAAGAATGTGATAAATGAATTATCAGAGATGAGGAAACAGCTTCGTAGTGAAGAGAGGCGACTGCAGGAACAGTTGCTAAATGTGGCCAGTGATGATGATGTACCGATTACACGGTAAGAATTTCATCTTCAGTTTTAAAAGTTAGATTTTGCACAGGAACTCAAAGCTACTGTGTATTAGTAGCTAGTATTAGTTGGCTAATATACATGAGTGAAATGAAAATATAAAGATAGAACTTGTATATAAAATGTTCTTCTTTTTTTCTAATGTGTATGGGGTTTTTCAAAGAATCATACTAAAGTTTAGTGTAAGAAAGGCTGTACTGGTAAGATTGGAAGTTGCAATACTGTCTTGGAGGGTAGTCCAAAACAGATGTCTAAGGCAGAATTTTATCTCATTACCTTTTTTCCTAGGACATAATTTGTGCCTGTAAGCTGCAATACTACTGCTGATGAAAATGCTTATGAATAGCATAGTGCTGTGGTAGTACTTTCTTTCTTATTGAAAAACATACCCTTTTTGTTTAAAATATTTGGTTTACTTCCAAAATGTATTAGTTAATCATACCAATTAGTTGGAAAAGACTCATCAGATCATCAGTCTTAGTTCCACTCCGTAAAGTCTGAGGGCTTTTTTGATTTAAGTAAGTTATCCCTTTTTATAACACAATTTGCAGTGTCATTACTTTCAAATTTATTTTCCTGCTTTATCAATATTGTATTTCCATCCAACTCATTAATGTTACAGTGTTAAATTATATTCTGCTTGTTTTACAAACTTGTCAAGCAGGAGGAGAGAGAAGAATCCAAAGGACATATTTGAGATGGCCAGGCTTCGTCTGCAGGCTCCAGTAAGGCGACCTTCATCAAAGGAGGCACAAGATCCTGTCAATATACAGAATATCTGGGAATTTAATGAACTTAAATACAAAGGCAGGTAGATCTTCTTGATATTGATGAAGAAAGGTAGCGAAACATCTCTTCTTTTCCTCCATCTTCCATGCCATCCAGGATTTAAAGACAAAAATAAAAATCAGCCTCTTCACAGCTACTGCCCATATACAACATACTCTGTGGACAGCATTTTGTATGTGTGCACATCTCTCTGTGTGGCCATTTCTTCAAGTGCACACAGTTCGTGGCATTGTAATGCTGAGTTATCATTTGAGCACTCACTTAGCTTCCAGTCCTTGCTGCTTAAACTTCTTATGCCTTTGATATTATGATGTTACTGAAAGTAGAGTGAATTTGATATTTTTACCCACCAATAAAATATGATTCTGCGTAACTTCCTGTTTCTCATTTACCAGAAAAAATATTTTTTTAATATAGTAAAATTGTAAAATCATTGCTAAAGTGGCTCATCCTCTTGGCCATTATGATTATTTTTAATATTTTTATGACTTTGTAGCTAGTTTTTTAAAAATGTTTTTCAGAAACATGAGTTTAGGGAAAAATTTAAATTTTGTATCTTTGCTCTAGATTCTGAAACGTGTATGGGCTTGAGGCACATGTATCCTGATCCTCCAAAAGATGACCAGACTCTAGAGATTCAACAGCAGGCACTGTTGAGGGAGCAGCAGAAGAAACTTGACAGAATGAGAATGAGGAGAGAAACAGAAGGTAAGGAATGAATGGTCTGAGACAATTTCAATGATTTTTGTTTATTTGTTTTGAATTTAGTAAGAATTAAAAAACACCAGCTCTAGTTTTTCTCCTTTCAAGTTCACTGCAGTACAAAACAGTAAAACATCAGAATGCTGAAATTCTGTCATAATGTAAAGTGTAAAATAATTGAATGCTTTTTTTTTTTTTAATTACTGTGACTGTTTCTCTTTGGTTCCCTGAATGTAATGTTCATTCAGATATCTTTTATGAACAGTCATGAAAGAGCAGTATCTCAAGTTATTTTAGATGTTACTTAAAAATATCATGAGTTAATTCAACCCTTCCAAAAGTTACAGTTGCAACTATACAAATAACTCAATTTTGAGTGCAAGATACAAATTTTTGGAACAGTGTTTGTCTCTGTAATTCAGACTGGCCTAACTAAATTTTGAAGAGAAAGTAACTTTATTTCTGTGGTGGGTTAGCCTTGGCTAGCAGCCAAACTCCCACCCAGCTGCTCGCCTGCTCATGTCCCCTCACTCGTGCCCCTTGGTGAGATAGGGGAAACAGGGAGAAGAAAGCTTGCTGGCCGAAGTACAGACAGGGAGATTGCTTACCAACTGCTGTTGCAGGCAAAACAGACTCCACTTGGGGAAAATTAACCTAGTTTCTTATCAATTTAAATAAATATTTAATTACTGATTTTTGAGTAGTGGGAAACAAAAAGACAAACATTAAACCCACATCTTTCCTGCCCCCTTCCCCAGGCCCAACTTCACTCCTTCACTCCTGATGCCCCTGCTCCCCTTCCTTGGTACCACCCCAGGGGTTACGCTCGGTCCCTTCAACGATGCAATGAGTGGCATAAGGTGGGACAGGTGGGTGGGTGGATGTATTACGGTCAGTACACAGCCGTTTCTCTCTGCTGCTCCTGTCTTTTTGCACCTTTCCCTCTGCACCACCATGGTCTCCTCCAGAGGCTGCAGGGTAATCTCTGTCTGCTCTGGCACCTGGGGCACCTCCTCGTCCTCTGACCTCAGGGGCTGCAGGGCTGCTTCTCACACCTTTGTCCTCACTTCTCACTGCTGTGCTTTGTTTTGCCCTTTCTTAAATATGTTTTCACAGAGGCACTGCAAGCTTGGCTGATGGGCTCAGCTGTGTCATGCGGTGGGTCTGTTGTGGTACCGGCTGTGCCTGGCACAGGGCAGCCCCTGGCATCTTCTCACAGAGGCCACCCCTGTTTGCTCCTCCCCTTTGCCACAGACACCCCATAGAATTTCAGATTGCTCCTTAGACTGTTTTTAGCCTTAGAGATCAGGTGAAAGTTTGGCACAAAAAACCCCAAACATATACGAAAGGAAAATAGTTACACCTTTCCATACTGCTTTAGAAAAACTGAATGCCGCCTCTTACCAATGGAAATGCTTTGAGGCTCGTTTGTGTTACCTGTTAATAGACCCATATGTGAGCAATATTAACAAAATTGATACCAAGATGTGAAGGGTGACGGTTACTTGTAGGGTGTTTTGTTTGGTACCCTGGTGACTGTTAAAAATGATTCCTATTCCATCTTTGACAGATGTGTTGGTGTTCAAGCAATGTGTGCAATATTGCTTACGGATAACATAACATCGCAGTTGCAAATAAGCATATCTATACTACTTTCTGTTTTAATTACAATCTCTTGAATGTCATTTAAAGCCTAAATGGAATGTATAGGGTTGTCTTCAGTATTCCCCTTTGAAATTGACTGAAATGGTGAATAATAGTTCACCAGCTTCAACTGAGATCTGTGTGGGGGTTTGTTTTGTTTTTCCTCCATTAGAATATTTTTCAATAGGCCAGTCTGAGAAGGCTTTAACTTAATGTTGTCTGGAGAGGAACCTCCACCAGCTAGAAAGCAAATTTGCCTTTTTTCATTAATTTTGAGGACAAGCAGTCATTTTAGCCATATGCTAATGCTAAATGGATAATGCAGGCTTACACGGTGACAACCTAAAGAGGCATTTCCTTGGACAATTTAGATTAGTTGGTAGATAAGCAGCTGACTTTTAAAACATTTTTCCACTGATGCTTATAGAGGATCCTTGAGCAGTCTTTCCTCTCTCTTCCTCTCTCCTACTGCATTACAACATCATTTAACTTTATAGTCTGTCACTGTGTACTGAGCAAGAGGATTAATTAGTTGCCATGTATCTCTACTTCCAGTTTATTCTCCTCGGAGACAAGTTCATCATCTTCCCCTCACTGAAAATAGATGAGTGGTTTTATTGTCTGATTTAAGGCGGAAAGAAAGATGAATTAAAGTAATATGTATTTTTGTACTGTGGATGAAATGTCATGTTATAGGCTGTAGTGGCAAAGGCTTACCTGTTTTCCCACACTAGATGTTAAGTGTTCTTTACCTTACATGCTTTATAGACTGTTTTCCCCCTGATATGCTTTTTCTTTCTTTTTTTTTTTTTCTCTTTATGTAAAAGAGAAATATGGGGACTATTAGTAGAACTATAACTTGAGAAAGTAATGATTTTTTTAAATGTCCCAATTTTTTAAATGATTTCTCTGTCCCTGTAAGGCAGTCTTTTTTGCAGACTTCTGGATGATTATTATTTTGGGGGATAGGAGGGAAAGGTGCAGGAGCAGGTTTGATGTTGTTTCGCTGCAGTGCTGGGCTCTGCTTGACTGGAGTAATATATCAGGAATGAGCTGGTTGTCAGTCCAGGAGGAGCGACAGCCTATGTGCTATGGTTTTTGATGCTAGACAGAAGGTGAGCTGCACGCTGAATAAGTTTGCTAGACAGAGATGCAAGAAATAAAAACTATCTTAATAAATATTTTATTTGAAGACTTAAACCAAATATGAAGAGTAACTTGTTCCGGCAAACAGATATCTGGAATACAGAATAAATATTTTTTTGAGTATCCATGAGTTTTAACTACAGAACTGTTGTAATGTTTAGCTTCACTACATATAAATAAGACTCCTGACTCCCTCTGTCTAGCTCTTGATAGACCACTAAAAATAATGACAAAACCCAAAGTGGGGTCAGGAAATACATGGCTCAGGTGATCCCTAATCATGGAAGAAGTAATTCATTTTTAGCTCTCTAATTTTTGAAATTTGATACAGTATGGGTTTGTTTTTCTACTTAGTTCATAGCAAGTTTAAACAAAAAATGATAAATTAGAGAGATTTCTCTCCATTATTGGGGTTTTTTGTGTCCTAGCTGTGGAGTTCAGATGGAGTTTAAAGTGTTGCAGTTTAGCACTAGCAACCACTGGGATGCTGAATATCATTAACTTCCACTTTTTTTTTTAATTCACAAATATTTTTATAAAAGAAAAATATGACGTGTAAATTTTAGTATGTGAAGATGACAGCAAGAAAACCAAAATACTTATGCTAGGGAAGGGAGGGTCATCTTTATTATAGTAAGAAGGCTGTCAACTTTGAGTTCTTGGGTGCACTTTGGAAAGTAGGTTTCTGTTTAAATGCCTTTTCATCTGAAGTTACTTTACCTGGTGTGTTTTCTCAGTACTGTGTTCCAGCTGCATTAGGATTCAGCAGTGTGCAGAACATGATGAAACAAACATTTCTTGCTAGCTGTGTGGCTGGATATTAAGATGCAGTAATTCAAATAATAAAGATCTTAGGGTATCAACAAATGAAACATAAGAGGGTAAAAGAGAGAAACCAAGTATTCATGCAGCAACCTTTTGTGCCCTAATGTGTTGCTCTGATGACTTAAAGCATGCTGCCTTCCCACAAATTGATGTTTTTTACATTATTCAGTCAACATTTGGACATGACCTTTCTATAACAAGAGTTTACAATATTGTTGTAAACGTAGCACAAAAGTAGTTCTGACTGTTGCAGTATAGAGAACTTTTTCAGAATTCAGCACAATTTAGTGCAATTTTAGCATTTAATGAAGTATGATTAAATCTTCTTAAAAAAACTGATTTTTGATAGCCACAAAAATAGTTATGCTTCCTTTTGCTGGATAACAAATCTGTTTTTGAACAAGATGGGAAACAGTTGATTTTTATTAGTGATGAATAATATAGTTCTAATATGAAAAGTATGTTTGCTCTTTGGGAGAGACTGATGAATCCAGCCTTAAGAAGGGCTTGCACATGCTCAATGTTCTTAGAAATAATATACTACCAAATTCTGTTTTATTTCTCTGATTCTACTTAAATTGATGTAAGGAAAGCAGAATAAACGTTGCATTCAAATGTTTTAAAAACATTAATTAAAATGTGTGTAATTTTAAAGAAGTAATGCATAGTAGTCTTCATTTTTGTAATAATATGCTGATAAAAATTTTAATATGTCTTAGTATTAACTGTTTTTATGTCAATACTATTGTTTTGTCCCTTGTCTATGTGGCTTTTGTTGACCAAGATGATTCTGCTTCTGGCGGTAACCCACAAACCATGGGACTGGTAAGAATAAAACAGGGTTGTTGTTTTGTTTTTTTTTTTAATATTACTTTACCTTTTTCAAGTGTGAGAAATATTGTGTCTTTCACAGATTTGGAGAAAGGAATTACACTTAAGTAACAAGACAGCAAGCTTATTTACTTCTCTTGCTTGTCAATACAATGAGTAACAGTTTCTTAAACTTGACAGAAGTTGTTTATCTTTGTATACAGAGATGGTTTGATTCTTTAACTCCCTTCTTTTTATATTTGTTGGTACTTATTTTATATTCATATGATGTTAGATTGCTGCTGGGGGTGGGAATTAGTAGAAAAAGCCAAGCCAGAAGCAGTTGCTCTGAATTCAGGTGGCTTAAGTGATGCACGTGGCAATCAATAATTAGATCCGTTGTCTCAAATGAGACATTTATTTTCTGACTTGGTGAAAAGAGCGAAATAAAGTGTTATCAAATTGGAATTCTGCACTAACCCAAATTACAGAATAACAGAGTTCAGTTGTGTCTCGTGGGAGTGTGAAACCATACAAAATGGAAGACCGAGCAAGAGCAAAGCCATTAGCCTCAAGGAATTGCATGCAGAAATGAAACGGTTTTTATTTAAAGAAAAAAAATCACTGTAGCACATTTTATAGTTGTAATTTATTGCCTGAAATTCTTCTTCAGACCAATGCTTTGCAGTCAAAAATTTGTTTTTTCTTGTTCTGTTTCCTCTGATAGTTTCTACTGCTTTGATTTCAGAGTGGTTTTCAACATAAATGATTCCATAGTAGAATTTCTGTAACAAATGGTTGCAACTATGCAGTGAACTACAAGTATTACTCTTAGTGCTTGTTATTACTATGAAGAAATTTGTTATTTTAACGCTTTAATATCAAAGATTGTATGTGGTGGGGTAAGTCAAACACAAGGAATCATTCTTTGTTTGATCAATACTTCATACAAACCTTAGGTGCAAAGCTCACTTGTAGCGCTGACTGTTCTGAAACTCAAGCAGAGTGACGAGGACATACTTCTTGATGGAAAAGTCTGTGTTACAAAAATCACAACAACAGTTGCCATGTGTAGGCAATTTCAGCAAATGGGATTACTACAGAAAAGTAAAAAAAGCATAATGCTTAAAGAGAACGTGAGTTATTTAAAAATGTATGGGTTTTTTATAGCCACAAAGTACGAAACAGTACAGAACACTGTAGAGGTGCTGTTTGTTTTGCAGAAGTTTGGCAATTAATTTACACTAATTATAATTTGGCCCCAGAAAGATATTGAGGCATCTGAATTTGCACATCTTCTGTTTCACTTTTGTAGTTCAGGAATGAATCTAATGAACTCTTGAAAAATTCACTGTTGGAATCGGATAGCGCTTTTATCGGTGAGTTTACACCTCCCCTTAACCATGTTATGAGTGTACAAACATGTCATTTAATCTAATGATGTGTCTCTAAAATGATTATTACTGTTTTAAAATTTGCAGTGGGTGTAGCTATGGTGATTGTTTTAAAGTATTAGAAAATTATGCCTCCAAATTAAAATGCAGATCTTTATGAATTTGTACTGCAATGAATTTGTGTAGGTCACACCTAGAATTAATGCTGCTGCTCACTTGCCTTATACCACTTCATATCTTTTCATGAGAAAGCATCTTTCTGTGCCCATTGTGCTCTGACTGGAATGTTAGCCTTGTCAAGGAGCTTTTTTTGACATCTTCCCAGCTTTGGATAAGGAAAAGCTAATATTTGTTCAGCAAATGTGTTACAATGGTAGAATATGCAATACTCTTCTATTGTTTTGCAGCAAATAAAATAATTTATTAGCAATCACAGCTTACAATTACGAGCTGTCCATAGTGAAATACAGAAGTGTTAGGCAGCCAGTGATTCTTTTCATTTTTATTCTTTGTTTTACAAGCATGCTTGATTTTAAATATGATTATATGAGTATAAATTAGTGATCCATTCTAAATTACTCACTTTTCTACTGTTCACACATTACTTAATTTCACATAACTTGCAACATCATACTTGTAAACATTGTCACTTCCTAATCATCTGAAGTAGATGATTTTTAGTTTTCTTAAGATTTTTGTATAGAGGACTATGTGTCACATTGTCCTGTGTCTCTTTATTCAACCTGTATATGCATGTGTGTAAAAGTCCTATTTCAGATGTGTTTTGTTTCTAGTCACTAGAAATAATAAGGCTAGAACTTATTTTCTCCAAAAAACCCAACTAGCTCAGGCCTCTCTGCGTTATTTTCCATTAGTAAGCATTACAGTACCTTGAAATTCTCTTCAATCATCTATGGGAAATCATCTTAAAGGTTTTATTCTTTGCTGTAGGGGAGATGCAGTAGATTCCTGTAAGTGTTTTTTAACGAAACTAGTTGTGTTTCTCTGCACTGATGATTGTTATCTCTGGCTTTGGTTAAAAGCAGAATTCTTAATTTGAAATGTATTCAAGCTTATTCTGTTAACGTGCAAGTCCTGGAGTACAGGATAGATCCTGGCATTGGGAAGGGCACAGGATGGGGCTTTCAGGCTTGTGCAATGCATTTGGTATTCTCTGTAGTCTGCAATACATTCTTCTTCAGGTTAGGAAATACTCTTTCTTAGTTACAGCCCAAATGATGAAAGGATGCTTCAGGAGAGTCCATCAGCCTAGAATCTGGCCAAATATCCTAACAGTAGCCGGAACAGGCGTGTGGGGAAGAATATAAGGCGGAGGGCAGACATGCATCAACGCTGCAGAGTACTCTTCAGCCGCCAGTGACTTGTAGCTCAGAGGCTTCCCAAGTCAAATGCTGTGTGTTTGCATTTTGTAAGTCTTTCTAAGCTGGGTCTTTAGTAGGCTGTCATTCATGAATCGGAATCAGCATTTTTGAATCCCTCTAATTGTTTACCATCAGCAGTATTGTGTGGATAAATTTCCACACTGTGCCTTCCGTGAACTATCTCCTTTCATCTGCTCTGGATCTGCCACCTGTGTAATGGGGTGCTCCTTGGTTTTATTCACAACTTTCACAAGGTTCATGATATTTATAGTCCTCGCTCCTATTTCCTTCTTCTCCCTATCCAGCTGATTCTTGCAGCTTAGTGAGGTGATGGAGTTAACTTATGATAATATTCACACACACCCCCCTTTTTTTCCCCCAGATCTCTTATGACTGTGGTGAAAAGCATGTTCCCCAGTACTGAGGTGTAGGCACTAACTAAAACTTTGTTACCCTTTGCATTCTTTGGGCTTTACAAATAGCTATTAAAATTCTGAATATGAATCTGGTGACTTCCACCCCTGAAATGAAAAGTAACTCTCATTATCTGTGGGCCACCTTCTCTGTGAATTTTGCTGCTTACATTGTCTGAGGGTCTTCTGTGAAATCCTTGTGGTGTTTTTTAACAATGTTTTTTATTTCCTAAGAAGAGCATAACACTGCCCTCCTGTTTTGAGGTTTTTTTTGACATGGGTTTAAAATCTAACTCTATTTTGTAATAGATGTCAGCATTACAAATGAATTTGTCTTTATCTCCTAGGGCTCAGAAATTTGAGGCATTTAGGAATAAAGAGGTTTATCAATTTATTTTTCCCTTTTTTCACCTCATTTGAAACCCTACAATTCATTAGTGTTAATGCAGTGATTTGAAAGCACATCTGCGTAGCAGTATCTGAATGACAGATGCTTAAAGGAACAGGTAGCATCTTACACTGATGAAACACTAAAGGTACAAATAAATTGTTCTTTAGCTTGTACTTTGTTTCTGTGGTGATAAATTCACATTATTAAATGGGTTTTTGTATTCTGAGTAATAGCACTATTTTGAATATAATGAAGTTCAACTGATCTTGTAACTAGAATTCTGGTAAGTGGATTGTTAGCCATCTACCATTTCAAAATTATGCTTTGATTTTTTTTTTTACTTGAAACATTTGTTATGAGAGCTTGAGTACTTTTGGTGAAACTCAGGGAGAGAAAAGAGGAGAGGGGAGTAAAATTTTTATTTCTAGGGAAAAAACAACTGGTAATATGAAAGAATTTTTAAAAACATCTCTCTGTTTCTCTGAACTTCCTTGTTATCAATCAAATTTATTTTTCAAACCTAGGTATGTCAATTTTCAACCAAAATAATTGCTTAATTGTTACTTTAAAATTTTTATTTGAAGATCTTTTAAACTCATGAATTATATAAAATATTTAATTAAAATTTATTTTCAAATTGCTAGGAAATGAAAACCCCATTCTTTCCACAGTTATGATTTATTTTTAATGTCACAGTATGTCATTTCAGACAAATGCTGCAGAATTGTTCAGTACCTTGTGTGTTTGTGTGTGTGTGTGTGTATACATATTTACACACTTTTTTTTTTTTTTTAATTTAATGTGTCGGACTAGACTAAAAGCCTTTCCAAAAGGTGACTTCGTTGTCACAAAGAGTAATTGCTGGTAATAGATTCTGTACTGGTCTTGTTAAGCAGAGTCCTTTCTTTGCTCTGTTCTTGGAGGTACTAGAGGGACTGAACTAGAAAACAGATCCCCCTGTCAACACCAAGCAGCAGCAAAGCCATAAAACAGCCCCCAAGCCATGGTTACTGGTGCTGGAGAGAAAAAATGTACTGTTTGAAACAGTTTGTATGTGAAGTGGTTTCCAGAATCAGCAAAGGAAGGGGAAATAGACAAAACAAGTGTGAAGAGACCTTACCTTAGGGTTCATTTATATTATAAAAATAGATTAAACTCCCCCCACTGTAATGCGATAGACATATGATCAAAAATTTATTTAGTTATTTATTTTTGTATGAACAGATTCTAACACTTTATTACATGAAAAGGCTATGATATGACTAAGGATATGTGATTAAGGCATTGATTATGTTATCATATTCCATGTAACATTATTGTTCCATGTAAGGTTATTATATATTCCATGTAACATATTTTCATACATAATTTATTACATGATTGTATCTTTTTATGCCTCTAACTTGCTTAGTGTTCTCTCTTTCAAGCAGAGATACTATAGTCATTAGAGTATTCATTTTCTTTAAAGGTCTAGGTATAAACAAGATGTGGTGAAGTAAGGTAGGTGGTGGATTTGCAGGATGTGAAATGCCTTATCCTCCACCTAAGAGAGTTCTCAATATATATCTCAAGATATTCCTTGCCTTTGCTTGAAGTTCATCCCTTGCTGCTGTTGTGGTACCTTGCTCTTTTGTCTGCGTCTGGATTATCACTGGCTTCATGCAAGATGTCCTAATGAATACATTCCTTTAATTCCTGTGATTAAATCAAATACAATATATTGGCTCATTTCAAAACATAAACAGGTTTGAACACTGTCTAGTATTTTGATTTCTTTGAAAATTATTTCACCTGTTTTTTCCAGGTGCTAATGGAGAAACGTTTCCTGCCTTGGGAGAAGTTAATTCATCACCTCAGCATCCACCTTCTGCAAGGGAGAGGAGACGAATAAAGCAGAAAGCTTTGGAGTGTGCTGTATGTATGATAACTGGATTGGCTTAAATATGAAGGTGGACCACAGATCTAATGTCAGACAGTTCCTGTGGTCCCTTAATGGCTAGATGATAAGGATACTGAGGGTGTACATTTGCCCTTTTAAAAAGGATGCTGTTTAACTCAAGGATTTGTGCATTTTTGGATTTTCTGCAGGAGGATGTTCCACCAGGCCATCCGCTGTTGCTGCAGCCTGACAGCTTTTCTTTGCACTCGAGCTTCAGCCTCGATGTTGATCAGTTGAAAGGCAAGAATGAAGAACGATTGCACAGACTGACCGAGCTCCAGCAGAAATCTGCTTACTTAGGTATGCTCTGTGTAGTAGAGATGATGCAGTGAATACTAAGTAATTATAGTAATTAAAGGAACAAATATTAATAGACTGCCTGTAGTTGAACAGTGAGCAGCTGGCTCAAACGTAGGAATTATGAATAGACCTCTGTAGCTGGTGCAAGGGTTTCCCCAGCAAACTTCAACACAGCTTTTTAGAGTAAGTTTAGAGGAGGGTAATAGGGAAAAGACTCTCTAATTCCTGTCTGATCAGTCACTCATACTTGTCCTGTCCATACTCATTTTAATATTGCAGTGTGTCATAGCTAGCAGTAAGATGCAGATATCCATAGCTGAATTGTTAGTGGATAGATATGAAACTCCTGACTGATTAATGTTGATGGTGTTCCTGTGTAAGTTTATTGGCATTCCTGGGAATCAGATGTCTGTGGTCCAACCAGCATGAAGATATGCCAAAAAATTGTGTATGAAGAAGTACTTCTATTTCTAGTTAATTTGGATTTTCTATTGTTCACATAAATGATCATTCAGTATTTGAGGTTGATATTGATACCTCTTTCACTATACACGCACTTGAATTTATTACGTATGTCTTGTGACGATATAATACATCAAACTCTGGGAATTATCTCAGAGCTTCTCCATAGGCTGCCTGCCTGATGTAGATCCACTTTGTGTTTAAGGTACCAACTGTGGCAACCATTAATGGCCTTTAATTTCTCACACGGATTATGACCCAGTTGATAGTCTTTGTGCTAATGATTCTTTCATATGAGTCTGAAATCACCCTTTTTTTAGGAGGTGGTTGCTATGCTGTCTAGGCAATTGCAGTATCAGTATCCTTTTTATAAACTTAATGAGAGTACAGATGCTGACAGTTTTTCTGATTCTGTTGCTATGGGTACTCTTACAAGCACTTCATCTTTTTTTTGTTTGCTTTAACCATCTCACTGTGATTTTTAAGTCACTGAAAAAACGCCCAAGCCCATTCATATTCATTTCTGTATAATATAAATAAATGCTCTACTAATTTTACTCCACCCAAACATTTTTGCTATTTAAACTTCTTTTACTTCTCTGCCCTTGTTCCATCCCACCTCTTTTATAATTTCGCCTCATATTGTGTGAACTACACTTTTTATTTTGTTTGCCTTCTGTTGCCATGGTCTCCAGAACTTCAACCTTTAGATATATATAATTTTTGTGTGTGTGCATGTGTGTATATATATATGTCTGTGTGTAGCTTGTTCTTTGGAACACATGGGGATCATCACTCAGCATATGTGCCTCTTGGAAATGTAAGGAGATCCTTTTGCTCAGCTGTGGTCGTTAGGGCTGCACCGCTGCCTGCTCTCCTGTTGCCTCCTCATACTCAGTGACATTAACAAAAAAAAAAAAAAGAGTCAGGCCAAGTGGTTTTATTCCTTTTCCCTAGCAGTTTGATAGAACCCTTGTGGCATCCTCTTGCTTTCCTAACAGCTAGGACTGTTATTTCTCCTCCACCTTCAGAGACACTGCTGTGAGAAAACAGCTCTGTCACATATTTAACTAAGGAACTCTAACTGGTTATCTTCCCTTTAAATGACCAGGAGATGGCAATTTACAGGCTTTGATAGATTTTTAAGAGCTGATCCTGTTGGCACAGTAAGAAGGCTCTGCTCACAGCAGTTCACTTTCCTTTATGGGACTGATGTGGGAACCCTAAAGCCTCCCTCGACTTGTTTTCTTAATTGGAAAATTAGTACATATTGGAGCCGGGTCTCCACTGTTTTCACCCAACCAAAAAACCCATTCCCATCAATGTAGACTCGGCGAGTACTTTGGGCGATGAAGTCTCTGCAAGCCAGCAGCTTTCTCCAGCAGGCAATGTATGCATGTTCCTAACTGCCTAAACAAGAGCAGGCTCAGATACAGAAGAGAGAATTCTTACAGCTTTGAGCACGCTAGATGATATGTGGCTGAGACCCTGCTTATGTAAGAGAAGTTGCCTAAATTGCCTGAGACTTTTTAGGCATTCCTCTGTGCCTTTAAGAAAAGGAATGCTGGACCCTGTGATTATCTACAGCGGGCAGTAGCACTGATTCCTGGTAAGTGCAGGCTGACAGAAGACAAACACCAATATCTGTTCCAGGGCGCTGAAAGAGTTTGTTCTCGTCTAGGGGCAGGATGGGCTGCAGTCAGTTTTTAGTGGGAGTCCAGACACCACTCAATTTCTAAATCAGTATTTCATGTGAAGGAAAGAGGTCTACTTATCCCCAGCTTCCAGATACAAACTGTGAATTAAGAAGTGGCAACTCCAAAGGAAATTCTTTGTATGTGGCCCAATTAAGAACAATTTTTTATGGAATATACAAACTGTTAAAATTCGTGATGAAGCAAGTTTTGTACTGTAGCTGATCTGTTGTGCTTTCTAAAAGCAGCACCAAATGAGCCTGATATAGTGATGTGGACTATGAGGTTATCTCTGACAAAACAGTTGTTCCTACCTCTGACTACTGGAAGATCTAATGGCTTTGTCTTGGAAGGCAGTAATAGTTAAACTCGGGGAAATGCAGCCTTCAGGCCTGAAAGTCCAGTTTGTCTCTGAACAAACACATTACCTTATTTTTATTGTTTTCTAAATATCATCTCTTAAAAAAGTAGCAAAGAGAAAATTAATTTTCTTTAGGTATTATTTTTCCTGCCGTGTACTTTTGTTAACCCCACCATAACTTATGTATGTAAAAACTGTGGGTTCCAACCCACAGGAGACTTCATCGGACCCACGATTTAGGAGACAAAGGGGTTCAGTCTGCCAGCTTTAAACCCACATCAAGTAAAGGCAATGACAGGCCTTAGAGAGAGGGATGTCTGTTTACACTTCTGATGTTACAGAGAAGTTCTGTTTTAACCAGACTGAGAAGGCTTAGAGGATGATCAGATCACCGTCTGTATGATGTGACAGAACTAGTGGATTCACTGCCAAGTTCTTTTTGAACAAAAAGTATTTGGCATTTTGTTTTAGAACCTGCATCCCACCTTAAGCACCAAGAGGAAAACTGAGCCTTCGCTCCCAAAGTATGTGGGATTGTGCGGTTTCTGTCCTTTCCTCCACATCTACACACCTGGCTGCTGCTTCTGCAGGACTTGGGTTCTCACACCCATGCTTAGACCATCAACTTTCAAGTTTTAATGAGAAGCTTCAGAGAAGCTTTGGTTTAAAATCAAATTTTAAAAAGTCATCATTTTTTTCCAGAATAAAAACCTTAAGTTTGGAAAAATCATCCAAATACATACATTACATGACACTTATGAACTGCTTAAGTGAAATATTTAATCACTAAAGAACATACAATTCTGTTATGTTTTATTTGAATGAGCATGTTTCTGTAAAAATTTTATGGTTTTTTCCTAATCCAGAGTATTCAATCATAGAATGGTTTGGGTTGGAAGGGACCTTAAAGATGTAATTCCAACCCCCCTTCTACTAGACTAGACATTTTTCTGCCTAGTTTAAAGCCCCTCCCCCCAAACCAGAACCTCCTCATTTACATGACTCAGCTTTAAAAAGGAAAGAATTGCAAATTTCAGTTGTTATAGGTGTGGGGTGTTTTGCATTATTTTTTTGTTTATATATGTAAAAATTAAATGTTGTGAATAAAAAAATGAACAGCACAGAGAAATGATAAATTTATATCATTATATGTTTATATATATAAAATAAAAACTTATGTTATTTGATAATCCACACAAAAACTGTCTAAGGTATTAGGTAAGTATGATTACTGTCTGAATTGAAACAAGTAATAGTAGAGTTCAGAATGATAACGACCCCAAGTTCAAAGGCAAGGCCCTTTTGGTGGGGTTTTTTGTTGTTGTTGTTGTTTTTTTTTGTGTGGTTTGTTTTGTAGCTAGAAGATGACAACTTACCCAGTATGTGTTTCAGAACATTGCATTAACGTTACTAGCTATGCTGGACTGTGATGTCCAGACTTGCTTGCATTTGCGGTGTTAAAATAATTCTTCCCAAGTTCTTTCCTGAGTAAGACACCGTCTATAAAAGAGTGTTTAGCCATAACACTGTAATTTTAATGACCTTATTTTTATATGCATTTTTCTATGCATATATGGACTGCCAGATTTGCCTTCTCCCTATAATAGGAGACTTTGGAAAAGCAAGACTATTCTACCGTGTCCACCCAAGTTTGCGTGTGTCTCCCCCTTGTTGATCTGGCAGGGGGAGGAGCCGTTGGCATTAGACATCAAAGACTTGGGAGTCTTTAGCTGCTGACTCTAGATGGGCCCAGTTCCCCAGAACATCAAAAATGTGTGTTAAGTAGAAAAAAATGTAATTTAAAGCATTATTTATGCATTTATTGCAGACAAATAAGCCTGTTCAATATAACAAAATGCGATCAGCTTTTGTCCCCTGTGACAGGTGTATGTTGCTCTCCTTTGCTCTCAGGTGACAACGTTTCCTTAGGAGAAGCGGATGACCTTTTGAAGCACACTCCGCCTCACGCTGCCAGACGGCCCAGTTCTGTTGACACAGTTGCAACGGAGCCCTGGCTAAGACCAGGAACTTCAGAGACGCTCCAACGATTCATGGCTGAACAGTCAAGCCCAGCAAAGCTTTCGCCGGACGACGCGCTACCACTGAGCTGGCAAGGCCTCTCGACCGCGCACGGCTGACTCCAGCCCTGCTGCGAACCGGCTGTGCCTTGCAGCAGAGGAGGGACTGTTCAGCACTAGTGCACTTTCCAGGGTCTCTTGTAGGGATCGTTCTTGTCCATGTATGTAGTGTGGAGCCGTATGGGTAGTTTAAAATAGCAATAATAAAGTAACAGAAGCTGCAGTGTAATGGAGATGTAGAGCAGGGATAGTTTGTACTATATGACATGGGAAGTGGAGGAATAGTTTGGTGGTTTTTGCACTTTTTTATACAAGTTAAGTTTCAGCCTCAGAGCTGGAGCTACCACAGAAACAGTGTGTGTGTGTGTGAATTTGATATAAAATCAAAGTTAATTTTTAGCTTTGTTTATAGCCAAACTCCAACGCTGTCTGGAAATAGAGTAACCCAACAGCAGAGGTGCATTTTAAGCTTTTACCAAAAGAGTAACTAACTTGGAGAAGGGCGCTTGCTTTTCATACAGTCATGAGTGCTGTCCTGCATGAAAGCTCAGCAAACACTTTCATGGAAAACTGACTATTAGCAATGTACCTTATGTTCCCTAACCTGTTATGTGCTGGAAATATAGCTACTGTTGCATATGTTTAATTTATGGTTCTGATTTAAGAGTTAATAAATTATTTTGTTACTAAAATGTAAAAGCAGACTTCAATTTTCTTAATTTATCATTTGCTTCAGCTTATGTTTACTCATGAACAAACTGGAACCTTAAAGCTGTCTTCAAAGAAGCAGGAAAAACACATGGAAAAGTTGCTGAGTAAAGTTGCTTTAGTTCAGTGAACCGAAACACCAAGGTGAAACAAGGGTAAGGCTGTGATTTTCCTCTTGGTTAGGAATTCCCACCCAGAGGCCAAAGCTTGACCAGCAGGGAAAAAACAAAAAAAACCCCAAATAATGAAACCAAAACAATTTCTAAAAATTTATTTTTACTCAACTGCTGCTGCCTTAAATCTTCCATCTACCTGCTTGAAGGCCATGGCGGTTCTGTGATGATGGCAGGCAAGAGATGCTTGCTGAGAGATGTACTTCAACATTGTGTTGTGCCTGGCTTTGTCAGGGCTTTAGTGTGTTCCTTCCCAGAGAGGAAGTGCCCATTCAGGCTAATTCTTACCATGAGTTTCTGGCTCATCATGTTCATCACTTTGGGTATGACAGCACTGGCCAGTTAAGTAATGCAGGGATCTTAGTGTAATCCAGGACCCAGGCTACAGCATGTGTTATCAATCAGCTTCATGGCTGTTTGATTCTGAATTGCCCAGAGGCAGGAATCCCAAAATACTTTTAAGCAGCTAAGGTGAAAATGTTTTATAACAGTTATCACCCTGCCACTGAGCCTCTCATGCTGAAGCCCACCTTTGGTATTTCGTACTTCTCTTCCATTTGTCACCTGCCAGCCTGTCCCTTGTTTTTGATGCCTGGTGGCTCTTTTCAGCTGCTTCACAAGTTGAACTTTGTGATCCATCACTGTGCTAACCCCAAGCTAGACACAGAACTTGTCTTTTCTTCTTCATCTAGTGGCCTACATAAACTAGTTTGTCTTTATTGCCTGAACTTTAACCAAAGTTTCACTCCCTGACAGAAGCATAAAGTTAAGTGTTATCCTAAAAAGCCAGCTTCATTTAACTGCAGGAATTTTTGTAAATGTCACTGACCATCACAGACTGGCACTCGTTTCCTCCAGTTCAAGTCTCCGACATGGCACAGTCCCCCCCTTTATGTTGCTTCCTTCACCTCTGCAGTGACCTGAAACCACTGAACTTATTTTAACCTCACTGCTCAACAGCATTTAGCACAGTGAATTACACTCTGCCTTACAGCTACCCTCCCTTTGGCATCCAGGCTGCTATTCAGGATACTCTTAGTCCTTCACATCTTTCCTTCAGCTTTCTCTGCACATCCAAAGCTCAGTTGGAGGCAGGGTGTTTCTGCCTGCCTTCCCTCAGGTTTTTTTAATTTTTTTTTAAATTAAAAAAAAGAACTGCAAGTTGAACATAATACCCAGAATACAGCTAGTGCAGTTCTGGCACTGCAAGAACTAAAGAGAGGTACCAAAAAGAGTAATGATGATACAGGAGTTCAGTTTCCAATGAGCCAAGACTAAACAGCTATTAGGCCTTTTGCACATAAGCAGTAAATAAAGGTAAGGCATGAGAAGGTCATGCTGTAAAAAAAAAAATCATTACAAAATAGGAGTACACAACAGAACAATGAAGCAGTAAGGTTTAAAACAAAAAACCCCAACCACCCAAACTACACAGACATTTAAAACAGAATTAGGCAGACACATGGATAACAAATACATAAACAGTTGTTAAAACAGTGCTCCAGGCAACAGTGTGGGGAACACCTTGACAACGGTACCAAGAATACCGTTTGCCGCAGGCATGGGGGAGAGTATGACATCACTAGGAATGGGACACATTATACTTACTCTAAGAATTATTACTGATCACTGTCAAAACAGACAAGACTGACCTCAGGTCTGGCCTAGTACAGTTGTTTAAGATTTAAACATTACACAACAAACTGAAAAAATAAAATACAGCCCAAGAAGAAAGGCTGTACAATTACAATTAATTAAATTAACGTCATTTCTCCCCCTTCTGACTTTGATAAATGCAATTTGGTTTTGCTCCACCCCAATTAACATTATCAGAAAACTCCTAGTCAAAGGTCATGCCTTTTAATTCCCTTCACTGGTTTTTCCACAGCTATCTCATTGAACTGCTTATGCTTATTTTTGGAGCCTGCTGCCAAGAGCCACAGGCTTATTCCCCTGTGAGATCAGGCTCCCTCATCCACTTTCTCAGCCTTCATGCTTCTCTCCTTTGCTAGTCATGCATTTTGTGAGAACACACTGGAGAACCATCCAATCCTGCTTTTACTTACAAAATCAAAGACGCCGACAAGGCTTAGCTGGCTGCCGTATTCTGAGTCAGCAGTCAGATGAACTGTAATCCCAGCCTTTCCGCTCCCATCCACCCTTATTCCATAGTCTGTTTCGTGTTAATATTTTAATCCCCAGAAAGCAAAACGCAGTATTTGAGTTTCTATCCATGCAGCACTACAGGGTTCATTTGACTAGTCCACCTACAAGTGCTTTTAATCTTCCTTTTTTGTTGTATGGTGTTTGTTTTTTTTTAAACTTACCATTCTTTTTCACCCTGTATTTGCCTAACAGTGAGAAGACACATCCTAGTCAACCAAAGGACACCCACCTTTCTGCCCCCGGAGGGCTGGAGTTTGTTCCTTTGAAACAAGAGCATGAGAGGCAAAGGAAACTGTAAAACAAGTAGCTGTGGATTAGACTGGTTTTGATTGCACTGATGAAAGAGTTCAAAAACTTTATTGACCTATAACCTGATTAGAATATGCCAGATGAGAACCAAATATTGTACAGAAAGTTGTACAGAATTTTTTTTACATAGAAAACTTTACATATCTGTACCATATACATTTTGTCCATCTGAAAAAAATTTCTACATCCATTGTAATACAGAATGCTTGACAATCTTCGTTTAACCATCAGAGCACAATTCACAGTATGAATACATTTCCAATAAATTTAACCATCCCCAAACCATGCCAGATTTGTTACTTGAATATATTCAACATTAAATTCTGTACATAAGAGTGAAATCTACATCAAACAAAAAACATCTGACAGCAGACACAACCTAGACTTGTTTGCAGTGATTCAAGTTCCAGTCCTTGAAGGATCATCATTTCAATGGCTCGTTATATTTAAAAGCCCTAAAACAAGTATATTACAGGTAGTTATGTCAGTCATATTTCTACCTCTGTTCTTGACAAAAGCCAGCAACACTAACTTCTGGGCTACAATGAAACCAAAAAAAAAAAAAAAGAAAAAAAAAGAAAAAAAAAGAAAAAAAAAGAAATCACAACCCCCAAAAATAACCCCAAACTTCTAGTGCATTTGGTAAACAATGAAGTGTTACGGGTTTTCAGCAAATCAATAATACAGAAATAAAACAATTCAGGAAGAACTGTATAGTGTTAAAGAGTTTATATTACAGACCTGCATCTCTGTACATTTTTCACAGAAGGATGATTACCAATGTCTCAGACAGCCTGAGTGTGCAAAAATCTTAGAATATCAGACATAGTTGCTAAATATCTTTTACCATGAACAATAATCTCCATTTTCTTTTCACTATAAACATTTTATCCTTCAAAATACAGCTCTCCTGAGTTGTACTTCTTGCAGAAGCTCAAACCTTTACATATATAGTTCTTTGGGTACATTTTACTTTCACACCCGCCATAAACATCTGTTGCTACACTGCTGTCTAGGACAGTAAAGGATATTGCAGCCCATGCTGACAAGAGGACTGTGCTAAAAACTGGCTCGGTGCTCAGCATGAGCCAGGTAAGAGAAACTGATAGAGATAATCCATCAGGAAATAAAGGGACTGGAGTGTTGCAAGCCTTAATTACAGTTGTAAGCATCAGTACCGTTAACCCTTGGATACACATTGCCATACAGAGAAACCATTTTTATGGATATCCAGACAGAATGGCTCAGCTACCTGGTCCTTTTATTTAGCTGAGGAATATAAACTTTTAAACGGAGCAATACTCAGTCAGTCACTATCTGTTACTGCTTGCTTATTCCAGACTCTTGTTCTGGTGGTTGGGATATTTGGAAAACCACACCAATCCGCAGGAAAAACCTTCGTAGAACAGCTCTAAGCTCAGGAATAAGGTCAAACTGCATAATTTCACACAACAGAGGATAGTAGAATGAGGCATGAGCCTTGAACTGAGGAGAAAACAGAAGAAATTATTCTATTATGCATCAATACACCTCAGAAAGTGTGTTGCAAGTGAAGAATTTTAAATAGTCTCCCAAGTCGAGGTGAAAAACCCACAAAGTGACAGCAGAAACATCTTTATAACTGAAGCCAGCAGTGCTAGAATAAGGCTAAGACAGCTGTGATGTACTCTGACAGATGCTCACTAACTATACACAACTCCTTGCTAATGCTTATTCTTCAAGAGGAAGAATTTTTCTATTATCAGTTAAGTTTTTTGTTGTAGTTGGCCCCTTTCAACTTATTACTTCAGCCAAGGTTTGTTAGAAATAGAGGGACATCTAAATATGGATTTATGTACTGCAGAATTGCTTTGGAGAAGGTCAAGGTGATGTACATGTAGCACTGGAAGAATAAACAGGAGTTATTTCTTTAAATAAAATAATCAGCTGCTAATCCTTTTCCTCAGCAGGAGAGGGGTAAAAGCAACTTGCCACACGCTTCTGAAGGATTTTATCATCTTTTAGATTTTCTCAGACACATTTTATTTTATCACTCACTGCACCCTCACTCTGCATTACTACTGTCTGTATCTGTCAAGTGCAGTTTCAATGTATATTCCCTCGACAAAGAGCGTCTACAGCGCAGTAGGAGCTTTGCAAGTCAAATATATAACTGCGTGAAGAACTGGTCTGGAACTACTTCTTACCTGTAGATGTTGTCTTAAATACCATTCCAAACAGTCACTTACCCTTTCATCACTTATCTTCAGGACTTTAGTCAAAAATAAGAGTAATAGATTAGTCCAGGCTTCCCGATGACTTTCTGAAGTAAGAGTGAGGAAGTAACTCAGAGCCTCACTGCAGACACTAGAGAGAAAAGACACAAAACCTAGTAACTAACATTTTATTTTGAGCTTTACTGCAAAGAGGGAGCTTTGACTCTGCAACTATACCGACGTAGAGCCCTGGTGCAGAACAGCATCGTTTCACGAAAGCTACTGTAAGCCTGATTAGTAACAGCACGCAGTGATTTTGTTCAACTCAAAACCAAAGTCCTAGGACTTCAGTATTAAATATGCTGACAAAACATGATTGTGCTGTTTGTGCTATATTTAATGTGTATCAAGTGCTCTTTGAAAGGTATTAAAATGCATGTGACAAAATGATATGTAGACTTTAAAAATTAATCTCATGCTGATGTAACCAGGTAGTTTTCAGCTCTGGTCCCTGGTATATAAACCTTAAAATACTTTCACTGCATTACTACCACGGTTTTAAGCCCTCTGCTATTCCAACACTTGTTTGAACGACTTTGTAAACTACAAACCATTCAGGTGAACCTTAGTATTCACAGTAATGAATAACCAAAAAGCCAAAAGCTTCTGTATGCCCATAGGCTCCTCAAGCCCGGTGCTCATTTCTGCAGATGAGAACAAACAGCATCTGTTCCCTGAACTATCTGAGGTTACTGCAAGAACAAAGCAGGGTTTAGGTGATAGTTGCTTTTCTTTTTAAAGAGGAGCTATAACAATCCCCCACCTACCCACACGCTACAAAAAAAAGGTGACAAAACCTTTGTTCTCTCCTGCAAATCACATAATAAGAACAAAAAGCAGAGGCAGCGTTAGTAGCTGGAGGTACAGCACTCTCCTGACAACATAAAAACCCTTAATATTAGCTGTGACCACCACCATACTGTGTTAGCTCTAGGAAGTTTACTGCAAAAGGAGGAGGTCTATCCTTTTAAATAAAAATAAACATTCTTTAACATGAGAAATAACATCAACAGGTTCAGCTACATGGACCTTACTTTAGTAGTCTTTGCTGGACTTCCTCCCATGCACTGGTACGGCTTTCATCCATGTACATACGGAACAGAATGCGCAACCCACAGGCAAGACTACTAGTCTCCTGTTTCAGAAGATTAGGCTTTGATTTGCCTTTGAAACCTAGAGAAATTCCAAGCATCCACTTACATTTTTGTTTCATCTGACATTTTTCCTTACAGTCTCCCACTTTGCCTCTAAGCATCTTCTGCACATAGACAGAAGAACCACCTTATGTAATTAATTTCTCACAACATTTAGTACAACGGAGTACTGCTAAAAATTAACCTATGTATATATACATTGTAATTGTGTTTGGTGCCCATTTTTATATAAGCTTCCAAGTAGATGTGAAACCTGGGTGTATAATAAAAGTGCATTCCAACCACCTGAACAACGGACCAGTTGGTCTCAATCATATATATTTATAGTGCATACTGTTTTATTGCTTGTTTTTGATAAAAATGTCTACAATGCTACTGTTTCCAAAGCTGTTACTGTATAATTAAACTCAGTTTGCTAGTGGAGGTCCATACTAGCAAAAAGCATACCCAAAATATTAATACCACCTCACTCAAGCTGAAGCGGTTCTGTGTATGCATACATCAATGTACCAAACAGCTTGCTGCGTATTCACAGTATGCATTCACCATTAAAAATACTAGTGTAGCTAACCTTTGTGCAAAGAATAGATTAAACAAAATGCTACAGAGTCCATTTTCCATCTGTCTCAGAAAATGACAGATGTTTCACTTATACACTGGTAGGTAAAACAACCCCCCTAACAAGTTTTGGGGTTTTGTGCCTGCAGCTTCCAAGCATGGGACTCACACCTACAGCCCAGGATCAGCTTGGCAGCCATAACCCAGTGAAACCTTAAGTTTTAGGAAATTGAAAAGATATTTGCACCTGCACAGATGAGGTCTCCTCCCATTAGGGATTCTAGGGTTATAAAGTTACAGCCTGATAGTCAATTTTACATTCAGCATCAAAATACTTTTGACCTATTTTTGGGTCAATTCAGAGCACAGTAACACACTCTCACAAAATACTTCTCCAAGGTGACTGACTCACCTGCTTTCCAGAGAGCAGTTCTTTGTTCATTGTTTGAATTAAATGCTTTAGCAAACCTGTGAGATTCCAGCAGACAGTCGAGAAGTTTGAAAAGCTGCTGTGATGTTAGAAAACGATACATCCCTTGATCTTGTGTATCCACATGGACATCGAACTCTACTGCATCTCTCTATTAAAATAAAAGAAAAAAAGAGATTTCAAATAAAAATTCACAATTGTCTTCAGAAAGCTCCTGTGATAACTCAGTCCTACCCTGTTTTCATCTGCACTTGTATTTGAACTTAAAACTGTGTTAAAGGTTCTATCCACATCCCAGTTACATAAATCCCTTTGAACAATACATGTCTTAATCTTCACAGTGTGCTGCCCCAGCACAGCAAATGCAATTTAATGCAAGATGTAGAAGATCTCAACAGTCTGCTGGAAGTTCTCAAGTGCTTCTAAAAACTGTAAATTAGAAGATGTTACAGGAGTTTATGAAACTTTATCTACTAGAGAAAAAGCTGTTAAAAAGAGAGATACCTATCGTTCTACTTACTTGCGCTGCTGCTAGATTCTCTGCATCCTCTTTTTTGCTAGTTGCTGGGAAGAACACAATATTGTCGATAGTCTGAATGAGTTCCAGTTGTACAACGCATTTGATCAAAAGAGCAGCAAATAACTTCTGCTCTGGAAATTCTTTAAAGGAAAGAAAAAGAAAATTGCTTGTTAACCAAAGAACTGCAATACTTTTTTCTTTTTTGAGCTATTTTGGAGTTAAGTTGAAGAACAGCTGAACTTCAAGCACATTCATAAATCAAACCTGGAATACACCCATCTGAATTACTCTTCTAAAACCACGACCGATCACGATGTTAACAATAGCCAGGTTTTAAAAAAATATTTCATAACTTTAAAGTTGCCTGCCATATATTGGACAAATATTCAATGTTACCTAAAAATCACCAAAATTAGTGACCTTGTTGTGTGCATCAGTGCAATTGCAAGAACCAGAGGCTGAGACTGTCCACAGGCAGAGAAGGCTCAGGATAGCACCGATATCACTGATCCTTGTTTGTACTTGTGGCAAGTACTAATACCACCAGGCATGAGCATTTTAAGCACCAAGATGTAACTCTGCACAAGTATCCTAAGGGTTTGGTATACTCTCTTCAAATCAGTCTAAATACACCTTTTTTTTTTTTCAGCTATTGCTTCAGTTGCATTCTGCACAAAAGAACTTCGCTCTTAAGAAAAAAAATATTACTCATTTACATAGCATTATAAGGAGAGTACTATTTTTAATATTTTGCTTTGGGTAAAAAGCCTGCAAGTTAGCAGCTGAACTCTAGATTTTTAAAGCACATGTCAAAAATGTGGACCCACAAGAGTCCAACAGAACCCCGTCATACTACACAAAGACAAAAATTTAACCAATGTAATTTTCTTCACATCATGTTTTTAAAGTTATAGCTGGTGCTATAACCAAAGATATCAAATATCTGCTAAATAATACTCTTAACAGATATAAAATGCCAAATCACTACAAAACACGCACTTGCTGTTGGCCTGGTTTTACTCATTTCTTCAACTACTGTGGACCCTGCGCTGGGTTGATATGGACGTCCATCTGAAGATCTAGGCTGAATAGAATCATGAATATCTACAGACTTCTGTGAGATTGTATCCTGAAAAGAAAGCAAAAAAAAAAAAAAAATTAAAAAATGAAATGACAGAAAACTTCTGCAAGCTAATTGTCAATAGCGTTGTGCTCTTCATAGCTTAAGACGTTTGCTGTTTCAACACTGCACTTTTTCATTCACTTCATATTTGATATCAGCATTCAAGAAAGATGTACTAAAAAGATGACCTACTAAAAAAGAATTGAATAATTAACAAGCAACAAATATTTAATTACACAGCAAAGTCAATGAGTAGTATTTTGCACATAGGTTTTTTGTATGCCATCCAAGCGTTTAGTATGTCAGCCAACAGTTAGTTTGACTTTTACCAGATTAAGTGTATGAGGTTTGCTGCAAGGTTCCAATACTGGGAAATGCAGTACCCACCTTGATGTACAAGAAAAACCTCTAATAGCTTCTGTGAGAATTTGTATTCCTTTTATAACGGGTGAAAATGTGAACACACAGCTCTTAAATGACAAGTCCAAACAATACGAGGTATCATCAAACTTTAACCTTTACTTGCCTTCACTCCCTTGACTGTTCTGAATTATATACATGTTTGTAGGTGCTACAGGAATTTACCACAGTAAAATGATGGAGGAGGAGAATATATGCGTATCAAGAAAATGCACTAATTTAAAATCCTTTTGCCAGAGAGCTGCTTCAGCAGACTACTGCAATGTGTTCTGATTCTCCATGTTGTATTGCGTTATCTTGAGAGCTAGAACTCAATGACTCTGGAAGATGAATTGTTGGGGGTTTGTTTTGTTTTATTTTTTAACAAATATCTTCCTTCTTGATCAGTTGAATGTAAAGTATTAAAATCAATGGTAATACCTATTGCTTTCATTTCAGAAAGCATTCATTGAAAGAGGGAAATGTAATTAATAACAAAATATGTTATCATTAACTGCAAAGCAGTTATATATAGCGATTACTGTCCCTTTCAGCAATCCAGCATTTCTATTGGCATTTGTTCCCTAAGTACCACTGGAGACTACACATTAATTCCCTGTATTGTGGTGTTAGCAAGATTTAAATCTACACATACAGCTCCTACAAAGAACATATCAACTTCTCATACCAGTAAATAACGAAGGTTTTAATCTCTATTAAGTATAAATATACTTTAATAGATATTATGTATATAGAGAGTAGAATGCTTCCTTATATTTGAACTACCTGAAGAAAAATTAGATGGAAATATCTAAAGCCTGCAAAAATTCTATCCTACCAAAAGAAAGGATCCAAAATATATCTCCTTTAACACTACTTATTATACAAATTCTGTTAATTTTGAAGTTTTAAAATGTCTTTCTACACTGAAGACAAAAAAGATTTTTGAAAACATTCATTTTAAGCTGTTTCAAAGAGAAAAGACCTTTCAATTTATTCATAAGACATTTAATGTATTTGCCATTTTTGCATGCTATTATATTTAACATAAATGGATCAAAAACATAGCCAACGTTTAGATCAAACGTTTTATACATCAAACCACTACAAATGAGTCAAGACAGAGCAAGCACGTTCAGTCACACGGATGTAAAATACCTGTATAATGAGAACTCGCTATCACAAACATTTACACTCTGTTGTAAGTAAATTATGTTAACGGTCCATAAAGATAAATGGAGGGAGTTGGTCTCTCTTAGTAGAACTCATTTGGAACCATATCCTTGAAAATTTTTTATCAAATGTTTCATTAATCTATAAAGAACTTCATGCAGCAATCTTGTGAGAATGTCCAAAAGCTAAACTAATTCTCATCAGCAGTTAAGTATCTACAGGGCTGCCACTTGGAGGCAAATCCAAATTTTACATCAGTTGATTCAATCAGTGCTAAGAAATCTGATGGTTATACGTATTTTCTATATTAAACACTGATGTTTAAGTCCTTATTACCAGAGAAAATTTGAAGGGAAAAAAAACCCCAACAGTCTATCTAACTGGCCATCTTTCCACCTCCAGCATTTTCTCGTCATGCCAATGTATCAAAGAGAATATTGAGCAAAATATAAGAAAAACCATGCCCCAAACCAGAAAACAACTCAAACGCTAAATACAGTATTATAGAGACCTACCAGATGTAAGACATTACCTAAAATATACACAGATAACAACCTACAGCCAACTTCTGGAAGCTAACTTTGCTGCAAACAAATACATACTTTTCTTTCTCAATGAATTCCTTGCCATTTTTAAGGATTAAATAGCACTTTAACTGGAAAAAACTTTTTCAAGTAAACCAAAATTGAAAAATGGGTTTAAACTAAGTTTACTTTTCACTTATTCTACATCACAACACATTTGTACCGAACGCTTGCAAGCTTTTAAAATATTTTTTATTTCAGCAGCTTACCAGTTTTTCTTTTGTATCAGAAGGAGATCCAGAGCCAAATTCTCCACTGACTGGTCGCCAAGTCAGCAGCCTTGAAAATACAAAACCAGCACCAAATTTATTAAGTTTGAAATGATTAAATTTTCTCAGAAATACTGGATTTGGCTTTAGACAGTGCTCTAGTGCCATTAGTGGGCCTTGTTCTCTCACACTGCCTTAAGCTTTACGTGGAATAAGGAATGAATCTACCTCAGGACAAATGAGCATGAATGTCTAGAGATGTTTTGCGTTCTCTGTTTGGGATATGTTCCAGCATTGTGGTTCTATTTTCACTTAGGATTCAACACTTCCACTTAGGAGTCATTGTTGTTAGGAAGTACCATGTCACTGACAATACTTCTGATCTCTTCCCTGCTGTTTTCCTACAGCATGTTGCTATCTCAAGGATCTTCGCCTTAAGCACAAAAAAATTTCTACATTAACTGTAACTTACTGAGGCTGTCTGTGCCTGCCAAGAATTGAGGGAAATTGGATTAAATAACCTAAGTGGTCCCATCATCTCTTGTTCTAACAAATCTATTGCTACAAAGTAAGATTGAACTTATTTGTCATTGTTAAGATCTCAAACTATTTAGCCTCAATCTACGTGAGGCAATGCTTATGCTTGATGGACATTTGTGTCTGCGTATCCTAAGTGAGGTCTTTCCCATTGTGTTAAGGATCCTAAATTAACATATCACTGACCTCCATACAACTAAAGACTGTATAACTCAAAAGACAAGAAAAGATAAAATCTTGAGGCATGTAATGAGACAACAAATAAAGTAGAGCAGAGAACTGAGTTGATTCTTGAAAGCTACTAGGACACATATTACAGATTATTCTGGATTAGAGGTTGTTAAATACACTGTCATTTATTTGGGGCTATAAAGTCTTATAAAATTCCATCTGCCAAAGGAGGTATTGGAATAATGAGCCATTATGAGCCAGTAGAGGACAGATCATCGTAATTTCTGCAAGGAACCAATTCTAACTCTTGAATTTCCCCAGGATAAGATGGCAAGCACCGGCAAGCCAATACTTGCTCTCATGATGCTTCAGAAAATTTCAGTTAAAAAGAATTATAAACAGAATAGAAATTAAATAAAAAGGAGACTCAAAGAAACTATTAAAATGAGGTAATGAATGTGGGCTGGATGAGCAAACAGTGAGGTGGATTGAAAACTGGCTGAACAGCTGAGCCAAGAGGGTGGTGATCAGGGACATAAAGTCTAGTTGGAGGCCACCAGCTAGTGGTGTACCCCAGGGGTCAACACCAGGTCCAATTCTGTTCAACATCTTCATTAATGATCTGGATGATGGGGCAGAGTGGAACCTCAGCAAGTCTGCAGATGACACAAAACTGTGAGGAGTGGCTGATACACCAGAGGGTCAGGCTGCCACCCAGAGGGATCTCGACAGGCTGGAGAAATGGGCTGATGGGAACCTCATCCTGTTCAGCAAGGAGAAGTGCACAGTTCTTCACCTCCAGAGGAGCCACCCCAGGCACCAGCACACACTGTGGGCCACCCAGCTGGAAAGCAGCTCGGCAGAGAAGACCCTGGGGGTCCTGGTGGCCACATGAGTGGACATGAGTAAGTAATGTGCCCTTGGTGCAAAGAAAGCAAATGGTATCCTGGGCTGCATTAGGAGAGTTGCCAGCAGGTGGAGGGACGTGATCCTGCCCCTCTAGTCAGCACTGTGTCCAGTTCTGGGCTCTCCAGTACAAGAGAGGCATGGACGTACTGGAGAGACTCTAGCAAAAGGCCACAAAGATGATTAAGGGACTGGAGCATCTCTCCTATGAGGAAAGGCTGAGGGAGGTGGGACTGTTCAGCCAGGAGAAGAGAAGGCTCAGGGGGGATCTCATCAATGTATATAAATACTGAATGGGAGGGAATGAAGAAGATGGAGCCGGCTCTTTCCAGTGGTGCCCAGTGACAGCACCAGAGGCAACGGGCACAAACTGAAATACAGGAGTTTCCCTCTGAACATCAGGAAACACTTTTTTCCTGTGAGGATAACTGAGCACTGGCACAGGTTGCCCAGAGAGGTTGTGGAATCTCCATCCTTGGAGATACTCAAAAGCCAGGACATGGTCCTGGGGAAAGTGCTCTGGGTGGTCCTGCTTGAGCAGGAGGGTTGGACCAGACAACCTCCAGAGCCCCTTCCAACCTCAGCCATTCTGTGTGATTCTGTGTTAGTATCTTCAGCTATCAACACCTCAATGATTTTCTGGAAGCTTGGCAGTACAGTTTGGGCTTTTCTAGTAAATGCTGAAATTGGTAGCTGAGTAAATACTCCAGTACTAAGTTTTCCAAACAAGGAAATAATATGATCATCTCTCTTTGCAAAAAGGTAACTTGCCAAGAACCAGCAGAGGCTAGTCCTGGAACTAAGAATTCCTGCAGCCAGTGCTGCAATTCTTAAATTGAAGAAGTTATACAATACCTGAAAGATGTTTTACATGAATGCTAAAAAAACCAACAGATGTAATCCTACCTGACTGGATTAATAAAAACCTCTGCCAGAAGATACTTTACACTCCAGAGATTCATAACATCTGACTATTTCAAGACAATTAGCAATAAAGCACTTGCCCATAAAACTTTCATATATACCACTGTGCAATTTGTCTCTGTCTTCATTTCAATGTTAACTGTCGTGTTACTTCCAGACATGGGAAAACAAAGGTAAAAGGAGCATTTGCCTTCCCCTCTAAGTACTGGGGCAGCCTCCACAACAAGCTGGGTACTAAACATGTGTTGTCAAAAAAAAAAAAAAAAAAAAAAAAAAAAAAGGGGGGGG